GATACAGTTCTAGACATATTAAGTATGGAGAAATGAAGCTATGAAATCATAAAACCCACAAAATTTTTTGATTGTCTTGAAGATATATACTTTTTCAATCTTAAAACAAAACATCCAAGTTCTACAATGCAAAACACTTGTGCCCAGGTGCCATGATATTCTCTCCTCTTTTTTGGGAGAGCATCTGCTCTGTACCGCCAGGCTGGAATGCAGGGGTGCCATCACAGCTCCTAACAACCTTGACCTCAGCCAGGGGATCCTCCACCTCAGTCCTGGAGTAGCCACGGACCACATGCACATACCACCACGCCTGGCTAATTTTTTTATTTTTCTTAAGACGAAAGGGTGGGGCGCTTCTTCCTAATGTTGCCCAGTGGCTGGTCTCAAACTCCTGAGCTCAAGTGAGCCACTGCTTGGCCTCCCAAAGGGCTATGATTATAGGAATGAGTCACTGTGTCCAGCCTGATATTTCTCCTTTTCTAAGGACAATTTATTTTTCCTCTCGTATAGTTTTATTTAAGTTAAGTTATCTCATCTCACAAACTAATTCAAGTGGCTTACTAGCACGAACACACATAATAAAGTTATAATCAAACTACGAGATTCAGTACAACATTTAACCATAAGTGCTTGAAAGTAAAAGCACTCAACCCTATTTCCCAAACAGTACAATTAAATAAAGTTGAAAGGACTGACTAAAGAGTTAATTTTCCACTATGTTTATCAGTTAAATTTATTTCATATAGTCCCGGCTTGCAATTAGCTCAGTCATGACCGCTATGAATTTTTTTTTTTTTTTCGAGATGGAGTCCTCCTTTGCCAGGCTGGAGTGCAGTGGCATGATCTCCAGCTCACTGCAGCCTCCGCCTCCCAGGTTCAGGTGATCCTCCCACCTTAGCTCCTGACAGTGGGACAAATAGGTACTTGCAACCACCTGTCCTGGTAATTTTTTTGTACTTTCAGTAGCACGGTTCACCATGTTTGGCCACGGCTGGCCCTGTACTGCTGACCTAAGTGATCCACCTGCCCTTGTGCCCTCCCAAGAGTGCTGGGATTGAAACAGGCGTGAGGCACTGTACCTGGCCTAGCGGCGATAGTTAAGTGTTTGACAATGGCAGTCTCAGAAAAAGCAATGTGTTTAAAATTGTATATTATATGGTCTTACGCGTACATCTATGAAAAAATGCTCAATCTCACTTGAAAACAAATCTAAACTATCTCGAGATAGTCTGTTGATTGTCCTCGTACAGACAAAAATCTGAAAGTTTTGATGATGCACATGTTGCTGGGACTCTGTGGTGAAGACAGGGTATTGTATTAGAACATGAATGGGAATTTGAATGTAAACACCTCGTAATACTCCATCATTTATAATTATTCACCCATTACAAATTCTTGGGGGAATCCATCAATTCTAATTTTGGGGATTTAATCTCACAGCATTCTTACACCCAGTCGAAATACCGTATGACACAAGGTCACTACGATACAGCACTCGATTCTAATAGTCCGTCAACAAAAAGACAAAAAACACCAGTGTCCGTCAATAATGAACTGGTTAAAAAATTATAACATATCTATACTAGTTGGACTATCATTGCAGTATCAAAAGGAAGAGTAAGTTCTCTACATTTAAAGAAGAAATAGTGTAAAGCTGTGATTGATGGTAAGGCACATCCTATAAGAGAAAACATTGGGTACCAAAATACCTAACCTGGAAGGATTGCGTCCAAAAGATTATTTTTACAGCTTCATCTTTTAACCCATTTACTGACACAGCTTTTAGCAAGTGACATCCCAGGTGGTGTCCTACTTGAAAGTGCGAAGCTGGTCTAAGTGCTGCTCCTACCTGGAAGAGAATTACATGACATATCAACATCAAATAAGTAAGACAGCAGCAACAGTTCTCCCTCTTTTTAATGTTATGTTTTAAATATATTTTTTAATAACAGGTATTTATGGGAACAGCTTGTTGTTATTGTCTACCCAGCTATATCTTCCTGTTTTTAGGTAACAACATCCCAATTTTTCCTTTGGGGACACCTGATCTTCTCTCCCCAACTCTGTTTTTTTTCGTTTTGAGACAGGGAGTCCTGCCCTGTCGCCCAGGAGGCTTGGAGTGCGTGCAACCATCTCAAAGCTCACTACAACTTCCGCATCCACAGGTTCAAGGTGATTCCTTACCCCTGCCTCCAGTTTCCCAAGTACTTGGGATTATCAGATGCAAGCCCACACAATCAGCTAATTTGTGTAATTTTTAGTGGAAGACGGGGGTTTTCACTATGTTGGTCCAGTTGCTGGTTGGTCTCCAACTTCCTACCTTTCAGTGATTCCACACTGCCCTCCTCCCAAAGTGCTGGGATACAGGTGTGCGCTACCGTGCCCGCCTCTCCCCCAACTTCTTAATCCACATTGTTTGGTTTGGAGCTGACAGTCGTTGCCCTGGTCCAGGAACTCATTGCTGGGATACTGAAGGCACTCAGATTTTCACACTGGAGTACTGGGAAAAGAAGAACACTGGTTCCCTTTCTGAGGCCCAGGGCGTAGCCTAAGACAGCCAATCTTGGATTTCAATTTGGAGAGAATAAACCTGGAAATAAGGCCACTGTAAGAAAGCAAGAGACAACTAAGAGAGTCCTATAATAATTTTCCTTTTCTGCTTGAGTTCTAATTGTATTTCTAGCACTTGCAATTGTGAGAGGGCTAAAAATATAACAGAGCTCCTCTTAATTAAGTTGAATTATAATATTTTATTCTAATATAGTTTTTCTTTTTTCTTCTTTTTTTTTGAGACAAAGTCTCGCTCTTGTCCCTCAGGCTGGAGTGCAATGGCACGATCTCAGCTCACTGCAATCTCTGCCTTCTGGGTTCAAGTGATTCTCCTGCCTCAGCCTCCAGAGTAGCTAGGATTACACGAGCCTGCCACCACACCTAGCTCATTTTTGTATTTTTAGTAGAGATGGGGTTTCACCACGTTGGCCAGGCTGGTCTCAAACTCCTGATCTCACGTGATCCGCCCGCCTCGGCCTCCCAAGGTGCTGGGATTACAAGCGTAAGCCATTGCGCCCAGCCTCTAACATGATAGTTCCAAGTAACTTTAATCCCTTCATTTTGCTTTGTCCCTAAGCATATGTTGGTATTAGCTGAACAAAGTGAAAAAGACCACTAATCAACTGATGAACTGCTCTGGACTCCCTAACTGCTAGCCATCAGAAGTTGCTTCTGAATAATAAAGAGAGATCTCCTTGGATGAATGCTGTTAAAGGATTACAAGACAGCTGATGATTTTGTTATCTTCCTTGTTCTTCTTAAATTGTTCAATGGACCAGTCAAATAATCAGTTAAAAATATTACAAAACCAGTAATAGAAACCTGAATCTTTGGGCTGGGCCTGGTGGCTCATGCCTGTAGTCCCAGTACACTGGAGGTGGAAGCAGACAGATCACTTCAGTCCAAGAGTTTGAGACCAGCTTGGGCAACATGGTAAAACTCTGTCTTTACAAAAAAAATACAAAAGTTAGCCAAGCATGGTGGCGTGTGGCTGTAGTTACAGCTACTTAAGGTTTCAGTGAGCCAAAATCATGCCACTGCACTCCAGCCTGGGCAACAGGGTAAAACCTTGTCTCAAAAACAACAACAAAAACCTCACAGACATCTGAATGATTTCCTAGGTCTAGAAAATAAATGAAGGAGTTTTTATATATCATGAAAATTAACCTTTATTTATTTATTTAGAGAAATGTGTGTTTACATGCGTAAAGCTTTAGCACGCACAGCTCACACGCGGATGCGGCATGCAAGTTGCAGCTGCAAGCACAGGCAGGGACCCCCCACGGAGGCCTAAGCATGTTGAAGAGGATGAAGAAGGAGACATAAAACACAGAAGAAAAGCCCCATGGCCTCAGACAGGCCAAAGCCCAGAATGCATAGGAGAAAGAAACTGCTGCTTGAGAGAACAGGTTCCTGGCCATCAGCCAATAATCAAGATGCCAAACATCGCTCAATGCCAGCGCCTGAACCAGCTCACACCAACTGCAGCTGACCCCAGGCACCAATAAACTTGGCTATGTGTCACCACTGGTGCAGGGCGCCGGGACAACAACCTGGGCCTGGATCCTGCTCTTGGCCACCTGGAACGGGGAGTTCTGTAGCAAGGCTGTGTTTAGATGAATTTTTCGCCTGGGCTAGTTCAAGAAGGAGGTAACACAAGGCCCTGATTAGACCCCTGGTACAACAGCAGATCAGAGCTGGATGAAATGAGTTAGTAACCCCGGTGGTCTGCAATATTTTTCAGTCTCCCATACTTTAGCCCATTGGTCTCAGTGCTCAGGTTTCTTTCTTCTACGGCCCTGAAATTAACCTTTAAAGTTATAAAACATCCATTTTTTTTCTGTTTTTGTTTTCTTTATAGGGCCTTTTTTCTCCCCCTCCGTGGAGGATGGGGGGGCCCCTGATGACTGGCCCCAGACTAGCACTTGAACTTCTGGGCTCAAGTGATCTTCCTGCCTCAGCCTTCTAGAGGAGCTGGGGACTACAGGCATCTACTGTCGCCCAAAAGAGTACATGGTTTTATGGATACTTTGCTTTTACGTTGAAGCTTATCAAATATTAGACTGAAAGTATTTCTTCTTCAAAAGACATGTACTTTCTATATATGGATTCATAGCTGGTGAATACGTTAGCAGACCGATACATAGCCATTTATGAAGGGCTGATATACGCCAATTTGGTTTCATTAGACATGACCATCCTTTCTTTCTGTCCCTCGCCTCTCCTCGGTCTTGTGCTTCTTTTCTTTCCCCTTTCTTCTTCTTCTTCCTTCTATTTTATTAAACTTCCCCCATCGTTGCCCCATCCTCAGCCAACAGTTTCAGAGGCTTATTTTTTTTTGAGACAAGTGGTCTGGATCTGTGCACCCAGGCCTGGAGTCAGTGGCCACATCTCGAGCTACATGCACACCTCCGTCTCCCAGGCTGCAAAGTGAAAGTTCTCTCACCAGCCCCTGACTAAAACACGCAGTAACACATCCACCGATGGCCAGCTAGGTTTTTGCAATTTGTTTGGTAAAGAGTGGGGTTTCATTCATCGCTGGCCGCGGGCGTCTTTGAACTGCCCCTGGAGCTCAGAAAAGCTACCTTACCGTCGCCCTTGGCCTCCTGAAGTGCTGGAATTATGCAGGCTGAAGCCCCCACCGTGCCTGGCCTCATAGACTTTTTATCTGTGTGTTTAATAATAAAATTCTCTAACAGAAAGTGCTTACATTGGCTTGATACTGTTCCAGAATCACATGACCTGGAAACTCTGGTTCTGGAACAGTTGCAAATCGCCGAATAACAACTAACAGCATTTCAAGGCCAGAAAGACGGAGCTGGTCACTGTGATCTGTGGCAGCCATAAAAGCCATGCGAATTAAGTCAGCAAGATGCAGCACCAAAAAGTCATCTATAAGATTAAAAAACATATTGGGAGAAAAAAAGATTAGAAAACATCAAAAAATGTGCTGGAACTAAGACTTACATTAAGTGATAATTTTTCCTCCTTTAATTTTATAACCTAGACTTTAAGTACCTCTGACTTGAAATACTGTTTTTACTGTTTGTTAAATAGAGACTTTAAAGCTGGATTTAATGTACACTGTAAATACACACAAAAAAACTGTCCCAAAGCTAGTAAGTATTTATAGCTACTCAGGGCAGAATTAGCATTTTTTAAGAGTCCTAATAGTATCTTCAATAAAATTTTGTTCAGATTTTATGATAAAAGTACATTAGTTGGTACAGAGGAGACTTTGGGCTTTGATTAATCAAGCAGAAATTTATCCTCTTTATGTCAAGTTGAAGCTAAGACGTAATGTTCCTTTAAAAAAAAGTTGTATGTGGCTCTTTATATGAACTACAATATCTTATTTTTACATATATTGCCAAATATACAAATGATGGGAGTATAAAAAACATTTCTAGCTGCAGAAATGATAAATGGGAATTCCTTTAATTCCTACAACACATTGTTTGGTATAATATACCTCCTGTGGAGAGATATAAGAAAATCATTTAACAGAAGAAATCAACATATCTTAGTAAATGCCAACTACAACTTTAACTGAGAGCACAGGAATCAGTAAGTATCTATAGCATGTATGTTTTGCAACTGTAAGTATCTAGCACAGTGCTCTTCACAAAAAATAATTAAACCAGAGATACCTAATTCATATTCAGACTGGCAACAGCAACATTTTGCTTTGTAATTCTTTTGTCTGGTAAAGAACACTTCTAAGGAATTTAGAAATATGAACTGTGGACAGGTGTGGTGGCTAATGCCTATAATCCCAGCACTTTGGGAGGCTGAGGTAGGAGAGTCACTTAAGCCCAGAAGTTTGAGACCAGCCCAGGAAACATAATAAGATCTCATTTCTACAGAAAAATTAAAAAATTAGATGGGGATGGTGGTATATGCCTGTTGTCCCAGTTACTCGGGAGGCTGGGGTGGGAGGATTGCTTGAGCCTGGAAGATTGAGGTTACAGTGAGCTGTGATCATGCCATTGCACTCCAGCCTGGGTGACAGAGCGAGATGCTGTCTCAAAAAAAAAAAAAAAAAAAAAAAAACAAAATATATATTGTATCTTTGAACATATTAGCTTATGTGAATTTAAAAAATCAGACATCAAACCATAAAGACAAACATAAATAGGTAAAAATAATACAGCTGAACAGTAAGAGGTGATCAAAATGGTCTTACAATCAGGTTTACTTAACATTGAGAAAAGTTCAAATGTTTTCTAGTTATAACAGATTATAACATCTATGATATTAAAATAATCTATAAGCAAAAACTGGCCCAAGTTACAGACCAGGAAATAATTTTTGAGAACTAGTAAATGTTCATACTAATTCCCAAGAACCAACTATTTTCTATAAACTTAATGCATTGCACATGCTCATTAAAGTGAATACCAATATAAGAAGCTTAACCATTACCAACAGATTTAAACATGAAGTGATGTGATCACAGCTCACTACAAGCTCGAACTCCTGAGCTCAAGTGATCCTCCTGCCTCAGCCTCCCAAGTAGCTGGAACTATCAGCGCATGCCACCATGCCCCACTAATTAAAAAAAATTTTTAATAGAGACAACATTTCATTATTGCCCAGGCTGGTTTCAAACTCCTGGGCTCAAGTGATCCTCCTGCCTCAGCCTCCCAAAGTGTTGGGATTGTAGGTATGAGCCACTGTGTCTGGCTAGTTTCATTTTTAAAATAATAAAACCGTAAGCAGACAGCACTTTTACATATATCATTTGGTGTTTTCATCACTATGTCACTTACTTCTTGAATCTTTTTTTTTCATTTCTTGTGCTAAAGCAATGTCAAAATGTGCACTGCTAGCATTCTCACATTGGTTAATTATCCTACAGACACACTCAGCAGCAAAGACTCTAGTAGCCCATCGAGGATTGGTAAAAGGATGGGATTTTTCGTCACGTCTGGTGGTCAGGACTGAGGCATCATCCCCTTTATCTCCTTCTTCTTGCATTGTATCCACACAAGTTATAGCTGTACAATCTTTTATAAAAGGAGAACATATGTAATTATAATCAACTGAAAGATATATATATCAAAAGGAACACAAAAACGACTCCAAATTCAGACTAGAATTGCTCAATTATCAATTGCTACTGATCAATCATCTTTTTATTAACATCAAATAATTAGGTCTAATAACTACAGACAACTACAGTTGTCTAAAGGAGACACTCTAACAACTGTTACAGGTCAAAATGACAAAGCTGTCAAATTATACTCAAAGTAAAAAACAAACACAATAGTAGATACTGAAATAATTATCAATCCCCTGCAGGTAGATGGATGTACTTAAGGAGACTCAAAATTCTCTAGTAGGGCGTGTGGGTGGGATACACTGGGAAGGCTGTTTTAACACTGGAGCCTTGTATGGATTTCAGGAGGTTCCTGAATCCACTGAAATTGTCTGAAAATCTTTTTCTTAGGATAGACTCATTGCTATCATTACAGTATCAAAATTGTACCAATAGCTGGAGTCACCGAGTAGTGAATTATCTCCTCTACTTATTAACTGTTAAATTTACAAACTGTCTAACAACTGAAAATGGAACTAATGCTATGAAACAAAGCAAACTGGTTTTCTTGTATTATCCTGTATGTCAATATTTTTTCACATGTTAGAATATCACAGATGTCACAAATAAAGTTATGGTCAAGCTAACAGAGACTGGAAGGTGTTTTCCTGAGAAGGTATGGAGCCAAACCACAGAAGATAAAGAATTAATGGCAAGATAAAATTGAGCGAGCTCAGGGAGCATGAATGCAAAATTTAAAAAAGGTAAGTGAGACACCAGAAAAACGTAACCAGTCTATCTATGCACACACATATTTTCTTTCTCTTTCTTTTTTGAGACAAGATCTTGCTCTGTTACACAATCATGGCTCACTGCACCCTCGAACACCTGGGCTCAGGCGACATTTTCTTTTAAAGAAGTCCTTGCAATTTCTTGAGTAGTGGGGAACAGAAGAGAAAATTAGAAAAATAAAATATGTATAGCGTAATAGTTGAAACAGCCAGTGTAAATTATTGGAAGAGGGACCAATAAGAATGAAGATAGACAGAGGAGAGAATACAAAACATTCCAGGAATTTGATGTTAACTTTTCTCCTACCACACAATTCAGACATGAGAGCTACATTAAATTCTAAGGCTTGGGCAACTGAGTTGGGAGGACTGAAGTATCGTGGAAAGCTTGCGGATTTTAAAAGTTATGTAGGTGTAGGACTGAATCTGTCTTATGTCCTCAGGCAGGTTACCTCTCCAGGCCTATTTTCTCTTCTACAAAATAGAATAAAATTGCCTATGCATAGGATGGGTTAAAGGCTTAAATCAGATAAATTATGTACAGTTCTTAGAAAAAAACTGTTTTTTTTTCTTTTTTCTTCCTCTCATTTATTTTCTCTCTTATCCCAAGGATACGAATTTTAAATATTCAAATATACTTTCTCATAAACAATTATCTTGTATTACTAAAGACATTAGGGTAATAACACTGTTTTCTAATACTACTTAAAATTAACATTATTGTATGTAGTGAAACTGGCTTGCTCAAAATGTCATAACTGTGTAATTTTCTCTTATAGTGACTAAGTAATTTCATATGGTGCGAGGGGTGGGGTGGGTATGTATGAATGTATGTATGTATGTAGAGACATGGTTTCACTTTATTGCCCAGGCTGGAGTGCAGTGGTATGATCTTGGCTCACTGCAACTTCTGCCTTTTGGGCTCAAGCAATCCTCCCATCTTAGCATCCTGCGTAGCTGGGACTACAGGTGTGAGCCATCAGGCCCAGCTAATTAAAAAAAATTTTTTTTTTGTAGAGATGGTGTTTTTCCACGTTGCCCAGGGTGGTCTCAAACTCGTGGACTTGAGCAATCTGTCTGCCTCAGCCTCCCAAAGTGCTGGGATTACAGGGGTAAACCACTGCACCTGGTCTCAAATATATATTGCATGTATGAAAAGAAATGATGGGGACAATATAAATCAAGTCACACCTTTTAGAGCAGAAATAACTCTACTTTTTAGTTTGCTTTATATAGGAAAGTCATCTAAGACAGCCAAAGGGAAAAAGCAGGTTTAAGTATTGGATTTATATTGTTCAAATTAAAGAGAATTCTAAAACACTAGAAATATAATATTCATTTGAAGAAAAGCAATAATCAGACAATCAGAATCCAGCTAGTTAGACAAGACTGATGAATTCTCAGTGGTAAACAATTTTATGTAAAGTTTTAAATTTCAATTTTATTATTTTAACTGTTAATGACCAATACTTACCAGCTGATGCAGCAAGTACATCTTTACAAAGTTTTAACCAGAGGGAGAGTTTTTCCACTGCCATAGATGTAAGCATATAATTTAAAGTCTCTTTGATATCATGGCATAATCTCTCATCTGTCTCTTTGTCTAGTAAGATCAATAATGCCCCCTCAAGGCCGACTTCTCTGATGTTAGCATCTGACAAGAAGAAAATCAACTATTGAAGTAACACAGAAAACAAAACTACCATATCACAAGCTCACACATTCAGTAGTTATTCAAATACTAGATGAAAATATATCTTAAAGAACTAGCCCAAATACTGTGCTTTAATCTAGTGAGATCCATTTTAGTTCACACTTGAATTTTGGGATTATTTATGACCCTATATAGCTGTAATTTATGTAATGTCATTAAAAAAAGTATTAATATGTTATTATTAATATGTTTTCTTAATCAAGTAAAAAGTTTTACCCAATAAGTGTCCAATACTTATAAAACTTTTTTTTTCCTCTTTATTTGAGATGGAGTTTCGCTCTTGTTGCCCAGACTGGAGTACAAGGGCAAAATCTCGGCTCACTGCAACCTCTGCCTCCCAAGTTCAAGCGGTTCTCCTACCTCAGCCTCCCTAGTAGCTAGAATTACAGGCACCCGCCACCACGCCCAGCTAATTTTTTGTATTTTTAGTAGAGATGGGGTTTCACTACATTGCCCAGGCTGGTCTCGAACTCCTGACCTCAGGCGATCCACCCGTCTCAGCCTCCCAAAGGGCTGGGATTACAGGTCTGAGCCACTGCACCCAGCTCAATACTTACAAATTTTATTCAGTGCTTATTTATTTATTTTTTCCTTTTGAGACACAGTCTCACTCTGTCACCCAGGATGGAGTGAAGTGGTGTGATCTCGGCTTACTGCAACCTCCGCCTCCCAGGTTGAAGCAGTTCTCCTGTCTCAGCCTCCCGAACAGCTGGGACTACAGGCGCCCACTACCATGCCCTGCTAAGTTTTGTATTTTTAGTAGAGACGGGTTTCACCAGTGGTCAGGCTGGTCTTGAACTCCTGACCTCAGGTGATCCGCATACCCAGGCCTTCCAAAGTGCTAGGATTACAGGCATGAGCCACCACGCCTGGCCCAGTATAATTATTTTCTAATTTTAAATAAACATAATTAAGTTTTCCTTATTCTGGTATAAAGCTTTAAAATATATTAATGTGAGAGTAAAGCCCAAACAGAAAACAACCACTATATGGAAAACACTGTTTAATTACTACAACTAAGCTATTGGGACTACTGAATAAACATATATCACTATACAATATTCTTACTACAAAGTAATACCTCAAAGGGGAAATACAAGCCTTGATCTAGCATCTACTATTACCTTTAATTCTGAAAATGCCAAACAGACAAATACATTTTCTCTTGAAGAGTTAACTCATCTAGCATTTATGAAAGTATGTAGATTTGAAAGGTTATATTATTAGTAGGCTATTCTATTTTATTTATTTATTTTTTAGAGACAGAGTCTTGCTCTGTCACCCAGGTTGGAGTACAGTGGCACAATCTCACTGCAATCTCTGCCTCCCGAGTTCAAGCAATTCTCCTGCCTCAGCCTCTCCAGTAGCTGGGATTACAGGCATGTGCCACCATGCTCCCCCCACAAAAAAGCTAACTTTTTTGGTATTACCTTGTAGAGACGAGGTTTCACCATGTTTGCCAGGCTGGTCTTGAACTCCTGACCTCAGATCCACCTGCCTCAGCCTCCCAAAGTGTTGGGATTATAGGCGTGAGCCACTGTGCCTGGTCTTTGTGGGTGTTTTGTTTTGTTGGTATTAGGCTATTTTAAAAGAGAAATTATCTTTCAAAGATCAGAAAGAGGTGATACAAATGTTTCAGATTAGGGATCTAAAAAGATATAATGGCTAAGGTAATGTGAGTCATAACTGGATCTTAGATTTAGGTGGTGGTGAGGAGGTGAGGAATCATAAAGGACATTTTTTGGATGACTAGGGAAACATGTGTGAGGGCTGTAAATCAATATTGATTTTCTTAGGTGTGTGATCATGTACGGGTGTGTCCTTCACATTAGTCCGTTTTCACACTGCTATAAAGACATACCCAAGACTGGGTAATTTATTTAAAAAAGAGGTTTCAGGCCAGGCATGGTGGCTCACACTTGTAATCCCAGCACTTTGGGAGGCTGAGGCAGGTGGATCACTTGAGCCCAGGAGATCAAGACCAGCCTGGGCAACAAAGTGAGACCCCATCTCCACAAAAAACACACAAAAAAATTTAGCTGGGTGAGGTGACATTCATTTGTAGTCCTAGCTACCAAAGAGGCTGAGGTGGAAAGATCACATGAGCCTGGAAAGTAGAGGCTGCAGTGAGCCCAGGTCGTGCCACTGCCCTCTAGCCAGGGCAACAGAGAGAGACTCTGTCTCAAAAAAAAAATAAATAAAAGAATTATGCCAAATCTAGCCTGGATGATAGCATATCTGTTTACAACACAGTTTACTGAATATTTTAAGTCTACTGTTAAGACCTACTGCTCAGAAAAAAAAAAAAAAGATTATTTTCAAAATATTTCTGCTCACTGACAATGCGCCTAGTCATCCAAGAGCTCTCATGGAGAGGTACAAGGAGATAAACGTTGTCATGCCGGTTAACACAATATCCATTCTGCAGATTAAGGAGTCATTTTGACTTTCAAGTTGTCTTATTTAAAAAATACATTGTAAGGCTACAGCTGCCACAGACAGATGGATCTGGGCAAAGTAACTGAAAACCTCCGGAAAGAATTCATCATTCTAGATGGTTTTTGGAGATGGAATCTACTCCTGGTGAAGATGCTGTGAACACTGTTGAAATTACAACAAAGGGTTCAGAATATTACGTGAATTTAGTTGATAAAGTGGTAGCAGGTCTGAGAGAATTAATTCCAGTTTTCAAAGTTCTACTCTAAGTAAAATGCTATCAAAAAGCATTGCATGTTACAGAGTAATCTTTCATGAAAGGAAGTCAATGAATATGGCAAACTTCATTGCTGTCTTATTTTAAGAAATTGCCGGCTGGGCGTGGTGGCTCATGCCTGTAGTCCCAGCACTTTGGGAGGCCGAGGTGAGTGGCTCACGCGGTCAGGAGATCGAGACCATCCTGGCTAACATGGTGAAATGCCATCTCTACTAAAAATACAAAAAATTAGCCAGGTATGGTGGCGGGCGCCTGTAGTCCCAGCTACTCGGAGGCTGAGGCAGGAGAATGGCAGAAACCCGGAGGCAGAGCTTGCACTAGGCCGAGATGGCGCCACTGCACTCTTGCCTGGGAGACAGACCAATACTCTGTCTTAAAAAAAATAAAAATAAAAATAAAAATAAAAATAAAAGAAAAGAAATGGCCAAAATTGCCACAGCCACTCCAAACCTTTAGCAACCGCCACCCTGATTAAGCAGCCATCAACACTGAGGCAAGACCCTCTACCAGCAAAAATATTATGACTCACTGAAAGCTCAGATGATGGTTAGCATTTTTTAGCAATAAAGAATTTTTAAATTAAGGTATGTACATTGCTTTTTTAGCCATAATGCTATCTCACACTTAGCAGACTACAGTATAGTACAAACATAATTCTGATATGCACTGGAAAACCAAAAAATTCCTGACTTGCTTTAATTGCAGGGTCTGGAACTAAACCCACAATACTAGGTATTATGTATACGTATGCCTGAATAGCAGCCCAGCCATGCTGATTTATGCAAGTTGAAGCAAAAAATTTGTTTTTGTTTTTGTTAGAGACAAGGTCTCACTATGTTGCTCAGGCCGGCCTTGAATTCCTGGGCTAAAGTGATCTTCTCACCTCAGCCTCTAAGGAAGCTGGGACTACAAGTACATGCCACCACAACTGGCTCAGCTCCCTAAACATTTTAATGTAAGAATAAAACTGTTACTTAAAGAATTGTTATTGATAGTAAAATATATTATAGATCTAAAAACTTAAGATACTGAAAAGCTCCGTGAAGTTTATGACTTTCTAAAAGTATGACAGTACTTTGAAAACTATACACACAAATGATTTTTTTTTTTTGAGACAGAGTCTTACGCTGGTGCCCAGGCTGGAGTGCAGTGGTGCAATTTCGGCCCACCACAACCTCCCCCTCCTGGGTTCAACCAATTCTTGTGCCCCAGCCTCTCAAGTAGCTAGGACTACAGGCGCATGCCGCCACACATAGCTAATTTTTTATATTTTTAGTAGAGATGGGGTTTTGCCATGTTGGCCAGGCTGGTCTCGAAATCCTGACCTCAGGTGATCTGCCCACCTTGGCCTCCCAAAGTACTGGGATTACAAGTGTGAGCAACTGCGACTGGCCAGAGTGTAAGATAATTACTGGTTTTTTTTGCAGTCAGTGTTTTGATCTGTTACCCAGGCTGCAGTGTGGTGGCATAATAACTCTCAGAAACCTCAAACTCCTGGGCTCAAGCAATTCTCTTCTCTCAGCCTCCTGATTAATTAGTAGCTGGGACTACAGATGTGTACCACCACACGTGGCTAATTTAAAATTTTTTTTGTAGAGATGGGGTCATGCCATGTTGCCCAGGGTGTTTTTTAAAATATATATATATATACACACACACACACACACAAAATATATATACATATGTATAAAATATATATATATTTAAAAATAGAGATGAGGTCTCACTATGTTGACCAGGCTGGTCTTGAACTCCTGGCCTCAAGCTGTCCTCTTATCTTGGCCTCCCAAAGTGCTGAGATTACAAGCATGAGCCAGTGTGTCTGGGCCCAAACTGTTTTTGAACTCCTGACCTAAGACAGTCCTCTCGCCTTGGCCTCACAAAGTGCTTAAGATTACAGGTGTGAGCCACCACGCCTGGCCTATTATTACTATTTTTGTAGGCTAGCAGTTTCTTTGAATTCATATGCAAATTCAGGTTATTCAAATAATAGTTTTAAAATGAAGTGATATACACTTAAATCCCTACTGGTTAAGAAATCCTTTAATTCAGCTCTAAAACGTAAAAGAAGGGGCATTAAAAACTCTTTAACTTGTAGCAGACGTAACTATAATAAATTTTATGAAAGTGAGATTCTGCAGCAAACAGAGGCATGTGTGATGAATTATTTAAGGGCTAATCACATTTCATTCAACTGCTGTGAAAAAACTTGCTCTAGATCATTGGCTCTCAAACTTTAGTACAGTCATGCATGCCTTAATAGGATTACGTTCTGAAGAATGTGTTGTTAGGCAATTTCATTGTCATGTGAATATCATAGAGTGTACTTACCCAAACCTAGATGGTACAGACTACACACACATAGGCTATATGGCATAGCCTATTACTCATAGGCTACAAACCCATAGAACAACTTACTGTACTGGATACTATAGGCAATTATAACACAATGGTAAGCATTTGTGTATCAAAACATAGAAAAAAAAAGATATGGTATTATAATCTTATGGGACCACTGTTGTAAATGCAGTCTGTTGTTGACCAAAATGCCATTATGTGGCACACAGCTACACTAACGTAGGGACTGTAAAAATATGGATTTAAAAATACAGATTGCCAGGTAATACTCCCAGATTTCTGGTTCAGTAGGTCTGGGATGGGTCCCAATCTGTATTTCTAACAAGTTCCCAGGTGAGGTATACACTGCTGGTTTGAAAACCAGTTTGAGAACCACTGCTCTAAACCAGTAACATCACTGGTTGGAATAACTGTTAGCAATTCTTTCTTGTAGCAGGTTTAAGACACATTAACTTTTAAACTGTTTCAAAACTCATGTATATATGGAAAATTTAAAATAAAAATAATCATTGGACCTGGACATAATCTTGATCAAGAGAATTACCTGGAGTCAACTCTTCTCTGCTATCCTTAGCAAGCATAACAGCATGTTCTGAAACTTCAGCTGCTTCTCTTTGTACAAGCTGACGTAAGCAAGCTAGTACTGCTCTTCTCAGTAACAAGTAGGGGCTATAAAGATTCACCTGAAAAATACCATTTAAGGAATGACAGAGCTAAAATTCTTGTTGGCACTCAGTGAGCCTAATAGATATTCACTGGACCCCTTCCTGATTCTGTCCAGCCCATCAGTGGGCTGGACACAATTTATAAATACATAGGAACTTCTTGAAACTATTCTAGAATATATTTCTGACGATATAACTTAGAAACAGCTTAATAGGTAATATGTGTGCTAGATTATGCACTACTCATAAATCTAAGCAAAAGTCTTTTGGCAGTGTCAGAAGGCAGAATTTATATGAGCAAACAGAGTTTTAAGAGAAAAAAAGAATTACAATGGAAAGGATTTTGTTGCAGTTCATACATTTGTGTTCATGCAGATATATTATAATGTTTTATCATTCTCTAAGCAGAAATTTATACAAATCCATACAGGCAATACAGCATATTGGTTAAAATGGAGGTTCTAGAGTCAAAACATCTCAATAAGTCCTAGATCCATCACTTACTAGCTGTGTGACCGTGGGCAAATTATTTAACTCCTCTAGAGTGCCTTAGTTTCCTCATTTGTAACACTACTGCATCTCTCAGGGCTATTGTGACATTAACACAAAGTAACATGCAAAGTGCTTACCACAGTACCTGCCAAATAGTAAATGTTAGTTATTATTAGTGTAGTCTCTTAACAATAATATTTTAATCAGACAACACATAAAATAAACGCATTTTCAAATAAAGGCAGAAAACATTCACCAAAAATGCTCTCTAGAGACAAGCATTACAGAATACCGAATTTATATATATCAATACATATTTATGTATTGATAGAATACATACATGTACACATCTTACAGATGCCATGTAAGTATCAATAGGCTGTATCTACCCATGGCAAATAAGACTGGTAATATACTTCAGTTACAAGTTGAAGGTTAATGGATAAAAATTCTTAGTGATTTCATATATGAAATAAAGTTGAGATTTTAAATTTTGTACTAACTATGAAAGTAAAGATCAGTTTGGTATGGTCTACAAAATAAATATGTATATTATGGTAGTGATCTTCAAAGCAAAATTTGAGAAATAATGGCATAATTCTATAGTGATCTTTAGATATGGCATATGTGGGAAAAACAGGACTGAAGTAGATGAAATTTTGTAAAGAGCAGAGGCTACATTTTGGGAGGAAATAAAAGGTAGGTAGTAGGAGCTATTAAGAATATGTAAGAAGAGTGTCAGGTGTGGTGGCTCATGTCTGTAACGCTAGCACTTTGGGAGGCTGAGGTGGGCGGATCACTTGAGGTCAGGAGTTCAAAACCAGCCTGGCCAACATGGTGAAACCCTGTCTCTGCTAAAAAATACAAAAATATTAGCAAGGCATGGTGGCAGGTGCCTGTAATCCCCACTACTCGGGAGGCTGAGGCAGGAGAATTGCTTGAATCTGGGAGGTGGAGGTCCCAGTGAGCCGAGATCATGCCTCTGCACTCCAGCCTGGGCTGGGCATGATGGCTCACACTGAGGGAGGCCAAGGCAGGTAGATCACTTGAAGTCAGGAGTTTGAGACCAGCCTGGCCAACATGGTCAAGCCCTGTCTCTACTAGTAATACAAAAATAAGCCAGGCATGGTGGCACACACCTGTAGTCCCAGTTACTGGGGAGGCTGAGGCAGGAGAATCGCTTGAACCTGGGAGGCAGAAGTTGCAGTGAGCTGAGATTGCACCACTGCACTCCAGCCTGGATGACAGAATGAAACTGTCTCAAAAAAAGAAAAAAAAGAAAAAAAGAATATACAAGAAGAAACACATGCAAAGAGAGCCAAAGTCTACATTTTATCAGAAGTCAAGAAACAGAACAAATTTGTGCATCTATCATTGAGCAGCTTTTTTTTGTTTTTTTGTTTTTTGTTTTTTGTTTTTGAGACAGAGTATCACTCTGTTACCCAGGATAGAGTGCAGGAATAGCTTTGTAAGGATGTTCTGTTATACCTTCAAGCTGTATTATGAACCCAAAAGTGGATAGAGAAGAATGCCATTCATAGAAAAGTCTCAAGGTATAATGTAATCCCATGTTTAGAAACTATATTGTTAGCAGGTTAGGATAACAGAGAAGTTAAAATATAAAAAGATTACATAAAATATAAAAATATTCATTCCCAAGATTACTGTTGTATTTAACAATAATGACCAAAAAAGCACTTTACAAGACAATTTTAAAGAAGAGTTAATAAATCTACTAGTTATTTCAACTGGAGTTTTACAAGCATATAATACAAAGCAGGTGCAGCATTTATTCAGGCTAGTCAAACATTTTCTAGAAAAAGCATGCTTAGAAGTACCCTTTACTTGTTTGGTAGAAAAAAGATTGAAGGCTATCACACAAAGTAAAATAGGAGGCTTAATGTCTCCATGTCATTCTCCAGCATTTATATTGGGAAGAGGAATACAGTGGCTTAAGGCAAACAAACAAAGCAGGCAAAATACAGAAATTAAATAAAACTGTAACTACAATTATTTTCTGAAATGAATATACTAAATAAAAAGGAGACCAAATTTAGTGCAAGGAGTGAGCGCACCAGCTGGAGAAGGTTAGGAAGGATTTGCTTATATTGGTATCAAATAAACACCACGAAACATGCTACACATACTGGACTTAGCATTAATGGTTCGCTTAAACAAAGAGATGCAGAGGAAAACAAACATCTACAACCAAAAAAATGACACAAAGAAACAGCACCGCAAAACTCAAAAAAAGTTAGGAATCAAGGGTCAGGGACCTACCAACACAGAATTATCCAACAAGATCTCCTGCACAAAAACAAATGACACACCAGTCATGACAAAACCAAAAGATAATTATTAGGATGACTTTGACAACAGTCAGCTAAGCATTAAAATATAAATGTTGATAATTATCATTCAAATTGGCTTAGCTTCAGCTTAAAAATTCGCCACAAATATTTTATTTTCCAACAAAACGACTTGAGCCAAGTTCTTGAAAATAGTCAACTCAAGAACTCTAAGACATACATATATAATTTTAAAACGTACACGCGATTAATTTTAGGTTTTTCTTTGGAATCTGATTAAGCTTCAGTATCGAACCCAATCAAGGAGACATGAGCATGAGAGGAGTGCTCTGGATTGCATTCACATGAAGCAGGTGTCCAGCAAGAGGCAAAGTTAATGGTTTACCTCATCAGAAGTTAATTATAGTTTAACTCTTAGAAGCCAAGTTTTGAAACTGAGAATATTCAGAATTGCTAGTGTAGCTAAGGCCAAGTTCAGTATGGAAGTTAAAGAGCATGCAGTTAGAAGAAAATTCCTTCCTGTAAGACTTTTGCCTAATGATGAAATGCAATTTCCTTACTTTGGTGAATACTCTAAAATATAATAAATTCAATCTAATAAATTCAGAATAAATTACTAACCAAAATGTTGAGACACTAAATTAATATATTATAGTGACAATTTTTGACTATGATTGTGTATTTAAAAAATAATTTTACAGCTTGAATATTATGAGTTAACATACGATTTGTAACTGTTACTTCAGATTTTCTCACTTGCTCTGAATGTACCCAAAAGTCTGATAATATAATAATCTCTGTTCTTTTTCATGTGTAACTTTTTTTGATGCCTATTTTTTTTCCTGCAGTAATATGTACCCTTTTTTGATTTGGGAAAGGAAAAAACTTAGTAAGTTTGATCAGATTTTATTTATTTATATTTTTGAGACAGTGTCTTGCTCCATTGCCCAAGGTGAAGTGCAGTGGCGCAATCATGGCTCACTGTTGCCTCAACATCCTGGGTTCAAGTGATCCTCCCACCTCAGCCTCCCAAGTAGTAATGGGACTACAGGTGCACACCGTCATTCCCAGGTAATTTTCTTAAAATTTTTTGTAGAGACAAGGTCTCACCATGTTCCCCAGGCTGGTCTCAAACTCCTGGGCTCAAATGATCCTTCTACCTTGGCCTCCCAAAGTGCTGGAACTACAGGTGTGAGCCACTGTGCCCAGCTGATCAGATTTTATTCATCATGAATTAATGGGTTAGTCTTGCTCTTCATTTCTCAATAAACTTTAGTTAATAAAAAAAATGTATCAGGTAAAGGAGAAATTTTAAAGGTAATTAATGGAAATCTTCTATAAGACAAGAAGTAAAAACGGCAGTATCACCAAATTTAAATGGAGAGTAAAAGATCAAATGCAAAGGAGCAAAAAATTTTTCCAATAACTGGTTTTAGGAATGGCTCTTCAAACACAAAAGTAATATTCCTGGGGAAGAATCCCTGAATGGTACAGGTAAAATCCTTTTCCTGTAAGTGCTGTTTTCCCTAAAATGATTGACCCAGATCTAAAAAAATACAGGAACAAAAGTTTCTATCAGAAAGTCAGTCACATTCTCTTTAAAGTTTTATCGGGCTAGGCATGGTGGCTCACACCTGTAATCCCAGCACTTTGTGGGGCTGAGGCAGAAGGATGGCTTGAGACCAGAAGTTCAAGACCAGCCTGGGTAACATAGCAAGACCCTGTCTCTACAAAAAAGAAAAAAACTTAGCTAGGTGTGGTGGTACATTTCTGTAGTCCTAGCTGCTTGGGAGGCTGAGGGGGGAGGATCACTTGAGCCTAGGAGTTCGGGGCTACTGTGAGCTATGATTGCACCACCGCACTCCAGCCTAGATGACAAAGTGAGACTCTGCCTCTAAAAAATATATAAATAGTTTCATAAGACTATCAGTATCAATAATTAATATAATAATATACTGTGTGTTGAAGACACATGTCAAGACAGCAAGGGCAACTACCATTATTGAGTACTAATTAAATGCCTGAGACGTGTGCCTTTACAAGCAGCATTTTGTGTAATCCTCATATTTTGCAGACAAGGTAGCTGAGGCTAGAAGAGATTACGGGACTTCCCTAAAGGCACACAGCTAGAAGGTGGCAGAGTTGAGATAAGATCTATCCATAAGATCTACAAAGATAGTACGGAATAATGAAATGAGGACTGAAGGAGGAGTCCAGAAACCTGCAATGTAGATTTAGCCACCACTTAGGTGAGCTAGATGTGTTACTTTAAGTTATTTAACTTTTTGGTCTTCAGTTTATCTTTTTATTGAGAAGATTGATTTTAATAATGCAAACAACATTCTACAAAAGTAGGGATAATCTATATGACAGATTTTTAAGATTCTAAGGTTTTTCAAGCTCTGAAATGCTGCATATTTTGCCTTAAGCTTGAAAATGAAAGGTCTATATAATTTTCAACAGTCACGTTACTAATGGGAGTGTGCTACAAACACTGCAGGAGTAGAAAAAGTTGAAAAGCAATGGTGCCAATTTATAATTCCAAATGCAACTCAATTTTTGAGGCAAGTCCAGATAGAAACTGGTGACATGGTAAATCATTTTTTTTTTTTTTCCTGAGACGGAGTTTCATTCTTGTTTGCCCAGGCTGGAGTGCCAATGGCACGATCTCGGCTCACTGCAACCTCCACCTCCTGGGTTCAAGAGATTCTCCTGGCTCAGCCTCCCCAGTAGCTGGGATTACAGGCGCCCACCACCACGCCCAGCTAATTTTTGTATTTTGAGTAGAGACGGGGTTTCACCACGTTGGCCAAGCTGGTTTTAAACCAACCTCAGGTGATCTGCCCGCCTTGGCCTCCCGAAGTGTTGGGATTACAGGCGTAAGCCACTGCACCTGGCCAGGGGAAGTCTTAAAACCAATGACAACGAACCACTTCAAAGGAACTTCTGGTTGATGGCCTTTATCTTTCTACATTCAGTAGATACAATATTAGAAGCCAGATATTGATGTATATGTTGCTGGAATACTAAGGAAAAGTGTTATTTCTCCATCTGGGATGCAAAGAACTTTGTAATAACTCAGAATAGATGAAAAAGAAGAAAAAAAGAGACAGGTGACCACATAAAGTTTTGCATGTCCCACAGATTTATATAGTACATGGGACATTATAAGCACCCAATATATGTTTATTGATTTATGAATAAATATTCCAAATATCAATTTCAACATTAATGGGAGAAAAATGAATCAATATAAAAGAGATTTAGGAGCTGATTACATGAAAGCTGCCCCCTACTTTCCAAAAAGACTAGAACTGAGGGGAAATAGCTATGTATATAACATATAAATTTGTACATAGTCTAGAGGATAATTAAAATGTGTACTGGGATAAATCTAAGATTCAAATAAAAGAAACTAAGAACTGGTTTACAATTTTATACTCACACAGAGGCAGCTAACCAGGCTAGACAAGTTGACATGTCGTGGAGCAAACATATGAAGCTGCTGAAGGCAAGAGATGGCCTGAGCTTGAACAAGGCAGTCTGGGTTATCTTGCATAACTGCACAACCCAGTAGACAGGAGGCCCTTAAGGTAGAAATTGAAGTACTGTTACCTAAAATAAAAAGCAGAAAGCTTTTAATAATTGGCCTATAAAAACATTACTCTTTAAACATATATTACAGGTTTTAAAATTTACTTCCAGTTTTGAGCTTACAAAACTGTGACTTACAATTTCTTCTACAAAAGTAGGGATAATCTAAGTGACAGGTTTTTAGATTATTCTTTTTTTTTTTCTTTTTTTTGAGACAGAGTCTCAGTCTGTCGCCCAGGCTAGAGTGCAATGGTGCCATTTCGGCTCACAGCAACTTCTGCCTCCTGGGTTCAAGTGATTCTCCTGCCTCAGCCTCCCGAGTAGCTGGGACTACAGGTGCACACCACCATGTCTGGCTAATTTTTTGTATTTTTACTACAGACAGGGTTTCACCATGTTGGCTAGGCTGGTCTCGAATCCTGAGCTCCAGTGATCCACCTGCCTCAGCTTCCCAAAGTGCTAGGATTACAGGTGTGAGCCACTGTGCCTGACCTACTTCAGTTATTCTTAATTTGAAAAGTTTATTGCAACACAAATTATTAGGCAAAGAAGAACCTAAGACTATCAGTAGGTTATACCAAATTTTCATAAAAAGTGGAATTAGAAATTGCCAATAAACTTAGCCTCGCTTGTATTAGTTAAGAATTACTTTCATGTATTATAATCATGTAATACTATGCAATTTGAACAGCTTGCAATATTTGAAATTTTGGACTTAGCCATTTATTTCTTAAAGAGAGATCAGAGCTCTTTGGATGATTCTGCTTCATGTCTGTCATTTTAACTGTTAAGGAAGGTATCTTTAGGAGATACGTAATTGTCGAAATAATGTACTCTGTCTTTTCAAGGTAAGATAAATCAGGCTGAACGGCATTTATACATTCATTTAACAAAACATACAGCACCTATCATGTGCCAAGCATACAGACCACGAACTGAATTCATTTTTATGTGTATTATTTTTAATGTAAAACATCACAAAAGCAGCTATGCACACCTTGTAGCTCTGGACCTAACGTGGTAATAAGGGCATTCAAACAGCGACCAAGGCTTTGGTGAACTTCAGCATGAGTAGGAGGCACATTTAACAACAACATTATAATAAGAGAAAGGGTAGGTTCCACATGCACATAATACAGTGGGCCAGCAGAATCAATGATCAGTGATAGAGAATGTAATGCCCAGGTCTGTAATGACAAAGAAAAACAATTAAAAACATTACAGCAGCATTAAGAAACATAAAATACATTAAGTTGTTCTTTTGTTGAAGCAAGTAATAAAGTAACAGCAAATGTGTATGCTACTACTAATGCGGAAAGAGAAATGGAGGACTTCCAACTCAGAGGCAATTATCTAATTTAGAATGATATAGTTCATCATTAAGAATTGCAAGTAATAGTTGGTACTTTAGCTAAGAGCTTGAATCAAATCTAGTTTGTTGAAAAACTTTATTGTTTAATCTATAGAAAGAATGAAAATTCAAGTTTTTAAAAAGATGCAACAAAATCTACAATTACATTCAACAATATGGACAATTCTCTTGAACATAATGTTGAGTGAAGAAAGCCAGACATAAAAGAATATATGTTGTATGATTCCATTTACATAAAGTACAGAAGCAGGCAAAACAAATTTATGCTGTTGCAAATTAGGATAGTGGTTATCCTTGGTGAGGGTAAGTAGTTAACTAGAAGACAGTATGAGAAGTGTGTATGGGGTATTGATAATGGGCTGTTTCTTGATTTCAGGTGGTGGTTACATAATGTACTGTTTGTACATAGATATGTACATTTATGACAGGTGCACACGCGCACACAGATACACACACACACACACACACACACACTATGGTTTAAATGAAAAAAGACTGGCCATATACTGATAACCACTGAAGTTAGGTGATGGGTATAATAGATTCATTATAGTATACTTTCTAATTTTGTGTATGTTTTAATGTTCTATAACAAGAAGTAAATTAAAAGCTCTCTCTTCAGAAAATGAACTGAAAAAGTTTCATTCCTCTTATCAATGGATGTATAAGAAAGCTTACAGTACTTTAAACGCTGCAAAAATGAGCTTCTATTTGTTAGGTGAGAGACAGCAATTAAGAAAATTCAGAAATGACACTGGGAGCTGTGGAAAGTATATGAATTAATCAACAAAAAAGGTATTCAATATAAAACTAGGCACATTCAGAATAGACTTGTTGAAGAGAGAGAAGAATATAACAGAAGCAAAAAGTACTATATATAAAGACGGGTGAAAAATGGAAACCTTGTAAGTCAATTCAGTCAAGTACTAGATGAAGTGGAGGAGGCAAGTAGTAATATGGTAATTCAGAGAAGGAAAGCTAACTGGATTAAAGCTTGATGAGATGGTGGTTACACTGGATCTTAAAAGACTAAAAGATGTGGAATATCAAATAGGCATGTAAGGAGAGAAGAGAAAAAGAAAATAATGTAAATGTAGACATAAGAATGACATGTGGATAAATCATCTGTAGAAGTGAACACTTTGAAGTAATAACAGAAAACATCTATAGGGTCAGTTGATGGGACTGGAATAAAGAAGTTGATTCAAGAAGCAATAAGCACTTTGTCAAGCTTTTCTGCAGGGAAGTGGCAAGATGAAAATCTTTTAGGAAAATGAATTTAGCCTTATATCTAGAGAGAGTTGGAAAGAAAAGGACTAAAAATGTGACGAATTAGGAGGCCATGACAGTAATTCAGCACACATTAATAAGGGAGACAGATAAGATGATAGAAGGGGAGTAAAAGAACAGGAGAAATAAAAATCATTCCATATTTGATTAAGATAGGAGAATGATGATTTTATTGACAGAAATGGGTAAGATATATACAACGATATGATAAAGTGGTTAAGAACAGGAGTTTGGAGTCCATGACTTGTGTTCTTGATCTGATTCCATGATTTATTAGCTTTTCAGTTGTGAGCAAGTTGCTTAGCTTCTTAAGCCTCAGTTTTATTTCCCCATAATGGGCTATACACCCTAATAAATTATTACGAGGACTAAGAGAATTACTACGAGACTTAGAAGAATGTATCGTAACACCTGGTACCTATTAAGTTCTTTAGAATAGTAGATGCTATTATTATTATTTAGTATTATTATTATTTTTTGAGATAGGGTCTGGCTCTGTTGTCTAGGCTGGAGCGTAGTGGCACAATCTGGACTTACTGCAACCTCTGTCTCCCCGGCTCAAGCCATCCTCCCACCTCAGCCTCCCGAGTAGCTGAGACCACAGATGCTCACCATCATGCCCGGCTAATTTTTGTATCTTTTGTAGAGATAGTGTTTCACCATGTTGCCCAGGCCGGTCTTGAACTCCTGAGCTCAAGCAATCCACCTGCCTCGGCATCCTAATGTGTGAGATTATGGGCGAGAGCCACCACTTCTAGCCCAGGGCTATTATTAAGATGGAACAGAGATACGTTTTCAGAAAAACACAATGAAATTGACTTCAGACATTCTGAGTGTGGGAGAAGATTTTAATTTTAAAAATCCATCAAGGTTAACAATGGCTTCCACAATTACTATGGGGGGAAAACCATATTCACAAATTATTAATGTTCAATATAAACACATTCTGCATCATCTACAAATCATGAATTTCAAGGGAAGTATCACATGAGGTACCCACCTGCACATCAGGGGAAGTGTTGTCCTGTGCCAAAGTATAAAGGATTCCAATACAAGAATTTAGGTGTTGAGAAGAACTTATTCCTCCTAAATACCTATGTAGGGACCCCAAGGCCAATGAGTGTCCTGTTCTGGTAACCACATCCCTTGCTGATTTCAATCTGTAAATATGAAAATAAAAATAAATGGTAATCACTGCAAAAGAAAAAAAACCCAAAAACTAATGCATGTACATTGTCACTTAGGCAAAACTTTTTATATGGATAACTGCAAATTTTAGAAATATATTTTTGGCTAACTAATAAAAAATTCTGAAGTAACCGAAAGGCATCTTGCAAAGGAAAACATTTTGAATCAAAATGTCTTCATATTATTGATTAGTTTAGTATGAACAGTTTCAATGTCTTTCATATATACACATGAAGAAGGTTTTTAAGACAAATATTATTATTACTTTATCATTAAGTTACATTTTAAAAACTCAAATGCTGAGATACTTCAATTTCAGAGTTTCAACTTAATTTTGATTTTAAAATTAAATAGGCCAGGTGTGGTAGCTCACGCCTGCACACTCGGCACTTTGGGAGGCCAAGGCGGGAGGATCACTTCAACCCAGGAGTTTGAGATCAGCCTGGGCAACATAATGAGACCCTGTCTCTACTAAAAAAAAATTTGTTTTAATTAACTGGGCATAGTGCCACAAGCCTGTAGACCCAGTCACTTGGGAGGCTGAGGCTGGAGTATTGCTGGAGTCCAGGAGTTCGAGGCTGCAGTGAGCCACAATCACACCACTGTACTCCAACCTGGGTGACAGAGCAAGACCTTGTCTCAAAAATAAATTAAATAAAATTAAATATGAGAAGTTAACATTTATTAGGAATTTATTAGAAATTACTGTGTGCTCATTTAAGTGGTTTATATTTAGCCCTTCTTTAATACTCTCAACAACCCTGAAATTCATACTATTATCAGTTCCTGTTTATAGATGAGGAAACCAAAATAATAGCTCAAATAGCTCTCACAAAGTAACCAACTATCAAATGGTAGAGTTGGGATTAGAGCCAAGTTAATAACCTGACTCCAGACTTCAAATCAGACATACATATTGAGTAGACTCCAAGGTCAAAGTGCTATCAATACTACCACCACCATTCCTAATATAACTTATTATAGATATATAATACAACCACAAAGTTTTATTTGTAGGCTTTTTCCCCATATTACTTTAATATTTACTATCTCATTTACCTTAACATTCTTAAGTAGGTAGCACAGTACCACCTGGAATAGAAGAACACTGGCTAAGAGGATTAAGTAATCTATTGAAAGTTATACAACTGATAGAAATGAAAGTACAGGCCGGGCACGGTGGCTCACGCTTGTAATCCCAGCACTTTGGGAGGCTGAGGCGAGCGGATCACAAGGTCAGGAGTTTGAGACCAGCCTGGCCAGCATGGAGAAGCCCCGTCTCTACTAAAAAAATACAAAAAAAGTAGCTGGGTGGTGGCATGTGCCTGTAATCCCAGCTACTCGCGAGGCTGAGGCAGGAGAATTGCTTGAACCCAGGAGGCAGAGGTTGCAGTGAGCCAAGATCGTGCCACTGCACTCCAGCCTGAGCGACAGAGCGAGACTTCATCTCAAAAAAAAAAAAAAAGACATGAAAGTACCGTTTGTTTCCTTATCTGCAGCCTACAGTCTTTTTTCCTGTAGTTTGTTCTTATTACTTATCATATATACATTTTACATTATAAAACTGTATAAATATTTCACTATCCTAAAGTCCATCCCACTGATGATCAATTATATCACTCATATAGATTCTGATCTTTATTATATAAAGACTATAGCTGAAATAGTAATAGTTTTACGTGCCAAGATCAGCAGGCCAATTTTTATTTTCTTTCCTTTATTTTAAAGCAGTCAACATTTGACAATTTTTCCTAGTTAAATCTCAGCATGAAGATCTTACTAGTTCCAACAAACCAGAAAGCTATACCCAGTTTTGAAACATAGCCCCTGAGTATTAAATAAGAAATTCACTTACTTGTCAAAGCTAACTTGAGCTAATCCAGCAGTAAAAGCTCCATCATCAAGCACTTGGGCTAATCTAGCCCACGCCTCCGCAGCTGCACATCTCAGCAAGGGGTTGGTACTTTCTAGGGCTCCTGTAACTAATGTTAGGGCAAATCTTTTCATTTCTTCTGGACCTAAACATCCCTTGGAGAGAGCCACGTACTGAAATATGTAAAGAACAACCCAAACTTACAATTGTAGTAAATTATCATATCCAGTTAGGAATGTATATTCTGGATAACCAAATCCAAATATGTTCATACTTGGATTACTACTTAAAAACAAATAAGAACACAAAAATCCACACTGATAATACATATATAATTCCTTTTTTTTTTTCCACAAAGCACTTTAGAATTTTAAACCTCCAGGCAGCAATATGGCAATCAATTATCATTAAGGTATAAATGGTTTGAAAGAACATTAACAGAGATGTCCACAAAATAAGCGACTAATGAAGTCTATTACATTTTACTGTACGTAGAAACGGTAAGTCATAAGTAACAACGAACTGGATTTGGTCCACAGGCTATAGTCCATCAATCCCTGGCCCAGGATATCAGGATTGGTAGGTTAACGCATGGCTCTATGCAGAGATCATAGGTTTGATTTCTAACAAGTTTTATGTGGACAAAAAGTTAAAGGAGAATTCCAAATCCTGAAAACTTTTCATCAGGAGATTAAGAAAAATGAAGGAAAAAAGAGCATTTTAAAAACATCATCCTCCGACAAACTTCATTGGCCACAAATTTTTTAAAAAATGAAACAAACATTTAAATAAATAAATAAATAAATAGAATTACCTTCAAGAAACTAGAAACTGAAGAGACAACATGTAACTGAACCACTTGCTGACGAGCTCCTTTTGTGTGCTTTATACTGTCCAAAAGCTGTTCCAATATAGGAAGCCTACAATCAGAAATAACAGGATTTAAAAGCAAAAAGACTTTTTTTTTTTTTTTTTTTTTGAGACGGAGTCTCGCTCTGTCATCCAGGCTTGAGTATATTGGCACCATCTCAGCTCACTGCAACCTCTATCTCCCCGGCTCAAGAGATTCTCTCACCTCAGTCTCCCAAGTAGCTGGGATTACAGGTGTGTGCTACCACATCCAGCTAATTTTTGTATTTTTAGTAGAGTAGTAGTTTCACCATGTTGGCCAGGCTGGTCTTGAACTCCTGATCTCAAGTGATCTGCCCACCTTGGACTCCCAAAGTGCTGGGATTATAGGCGTGAGCCACTGCCCCTGGCCTCTGAATACAATTTAAACTTCACACTTTAGGTTCTTTAAACTACTGCAGTAATTGTAAGTGTGAGAATGTACATTCCAATAACTGGAAAACTAAAATTTGAGATGATCCAACAAAAGTAGTCAATACTGATATAACTCCACAAAAATTTATATGTAACACATAGCCTCACAGAATTTGAGGCAGGAAGACTGCTTGAAGCTAGGAGTTCAAGACCAGCCTGGGCAACACAGTGAGACCTCTTATTTTACAAAAAATTAAAAAGTTAGCCAGGCATAGTGGCACATGACTGTAGTCCTAGTTACCCAGGAGGCTGAAGCAGAAGGGTCACTTGAGCCCAGGAATTCAAGGTTACAGTGAGCTATGATCATGCCACTGCACTCCACCTGGGTAACAAAGCAAGATCCTGTCTCAGAGAAAGAAAGAAGAATAAAAATGATTTGAAAAGTGCTAAAAAGGTAATGTTAAATGAAAAAAGCAAGGGTTAAAATTGTTTTACATATAGTATAGTCCAAAGTATATTTTCAAAGCATAGTTGGGGATTCAAAGAGCTATGCTGCTTCTGGCTAGCTATAGATGCAATCATAGCTCATTGCAGCCTCGACCGCCTGAGCTTAAGTGATCCTCCAGCCTCAGCCACCAGAGTACCTGGGACTATAGGAACACATTACCCACACCCTGCTAATTGTTTTTTTTTTTTTTTTTTTAAAGAGATGAGGCCTCACTGTGTTGCTCAGGCTGGTCTTGAACTCCTAAGTTCAAGTGATCCTCCAGCCTCGGTCTCTGAAAGTACTAGGATTATAGGGTAAACCACTGTGCCTGGTCATTTTTCTTCTTTTATAACGTTTCTAAATCCAAATTTCATTATATACATGTACTAAAATTTATTCAACCACTCGACTACTGCTGAGAAAAATATTCCAATTTTCACAATTCTAATTAAGATAAATATAAACAATATTTCATGTCCTTATAGAACAGAGGTTTTAATTCCTTATGTCAAGATTAAATACATATAACCATAAAATAAACCACCCCATTTTACCATTAATTTCTCTCTTAAAACATTGTTTCTATGCCCTATACTTCCTTTTCCCTCTTTTCTGCCTTTAAATGAGAAACCTGAAATATACTGAAGATAACTTTTTCAGTTGTAAATTATCTTGATGGCAGGAAGGGTAAAGATTGTAATTTTATCTTCATCTCCCTAATAACTTGTGTTTGGCATGTAGTGTAGACAGTCAGGCGTGCTTGTTGAGCAAGCATAAAAGACAACAGCATCAGGTAATTAAACACAGGGCATGACTGGCTGAACATGAAAATACAGATATACTTTTATCTGACCTTAATGTACTTTCAATAATATCCCTAAGTCCTTTAAAACTAGATCTCCATCATTCTACTGAGGCTACAAGGCAAGCTGTCCTGTAAATGGCAATTTTGTTATCAAATCAGAATAGACATGGGGATCGTGCCTTTAAAAAACCTAATTGTACAAGGAGTTAAAAGGGTAAAAAGGAAGGTATGAAGCTATGTGTACGTCATATGGGTTGAGGAAAGCAGTATGTATAAAATCAACTCATAAAATGTAATAAAGGCCAGGCGCAATGGCAAACACCTATAATCCCAGCACTTTAGGAGGCCAAGGTGGGCAGATCACCTGACGTCAGGAGTTTGAGACCAGCCTGGACAACATGGTGAAACCCCATCTCTATTAAAAATACAAAAACTAGCCAGGCATGGTGGCGCATGCCTGTAGTCCCAGTTACTTCAGAGGCTGAGGCAGGAGAACTGCTTGAGCCAAGAGTGGAGGCTGCAGTGAGCTGAGATGGCACCACTGTACTCCAGCCTGGGTGACAGAGCGAGACTCCGTCTCCAAAAATAAAAAATAAAAATGAAAGTAAAATGTAATAAAATGGTGGAGTACTAGGAATACTTAGAAAAGTACTTATTTCCTTACATCAATGTTGTGTTTGTTATAATAAATTTGAAAAACTCAGAAAAGCACATGAAAAAAAAATTTGCCCCAAATCCCACCACCTACAAAGAGCCGCCATTAACATTTTGACATCTTTGTTCTTGTCTTTTCTCCCTTAGATATATGAATAAATTTTTAGGAAACAGAGATCGTATTGTACATACTTTGTTAATGACTTATTTTGTTTCCCCTAAACAACATTATCAGGGATTTTCCCATCTTATTAACTATTATATGGTTTCACTATAATAGTATTAGTGAATAGGTATTAATATTATATATTCTGGCAATATAATTTATTTAACCAACTTCCTAGTTTGGATCATTTATGCTATTTCTAATTTTTCTTATTACAAATAACATGCTAAATATCTTGCATATGAAAATTTTTCTGGTGGCTCACACCTGTAATCCTAGCACTTTGGGCGGCAGAGGCAGGAGGATCCCTTGAGCCTAAGAGTTTGAGACCAACCTAGGCAACATAGTGAGACCTTATCTCCACTAAAGAGAAAAAAAATTAGCCAGTGTAGTGGTGCCTGGCTGTAGACCCAGCTACTTGGGAAGCTGAGGCAGGACGATTGCTTGAGCTTGGGAGACTGAAGCTGTAGTGAGCCAAAATCGCACCACTGCACTCCAGCCTGGATGACAGACCGAGATGCTGCCTCAAAAAAAATTAAAAAAACAAACAAAAAAAGCCTCCTGTCCATTGTTTAAGTGCATATTTAAGGCTTTTTTTTTTTTTTTTGAGATGAAGTCTCGCTGTGTCACTTAGGCTGGAGTGCAGTGGCGCAATCTCAACTCACTGCAAGCTCTGCCTCCCTGGTTCACGCCATTCTCCTGCCTCAGCCTCCCGAGTAGCTGGGACTACAGGCACCCGCCACCATGCCTGGCTAATTTTTTTGTATTTTTAGTAGAGACGGGGTTTCACCATGTTAGCCAGGATGATCTTGATCTCCTGGCCTCATGACCCACCCGCCTCAGCTTCCCAAAGTGCTGGGATTACAGGCATGAGCCACTGCGCCTGGCCAGCATTTTTTTTTTCAAGAACATTATTTATGCCCAAAGCACCCTATAGGAAGATTATGGAGGGTAAATGTGACAACAAAGGGGAATTAAGAATAACTGTGTGATCAAGCTCCCAAGTTTAAAAACCTATAACGTCATTATTAGATCACATCCTACATCTGTTATTGTGAAATTGTATCACACTTAAAGTTATAAAAATACATAAGGTTAGAGATTAAGAATTATGTCATTCTGTACTATAAGTTGACTTATACTATTACTTCTTGACCACATTCATGGACCAAAGACTATAAAACAGGATTGTCAGAGCTCAAAATCTTTCTCTTCATTCTCTGCCCCCAATCCTGAAAGAGATTGAATATACTATTAACTAATCAAGGATTCAAGATATATGACACCAATTCCTATAGAGATCTCAACAAAAGATTCTGATCTTCAGGAAGATGGAGATGACTTAGTAATACTGAATTAGTACTCATAAGTAGTATCAATTATAACATATAATTATCAGTTTGGAATGAAATGATAGGTACTAAAAGTTTTAAGTCTAGATGGAATAAAAATGCAGTTAACTGAATAAAGGGCGAAGATGCAACATTTGAAAATGCTGACTTATTTTACATTATACATTTTACATTATATACTCTTTAGACGGAGGGTACACACCTATACACAAACAAAACAGTAACCACAAACAAAAACAAAATAATACTTTTTAGACAGAGGGTATATAATGGCAAAATTTTTTACTACTGAGAATTATAACTGTTTAAGCTTTTCCTCTCTGTCCATCCATTCACAAGTGACATAATTTGTTGAAGCAGTCCATTTATCAGAATCACCTAAGGAGTTTAAAAAATTTCAGTGCCCACCCCCACATTATGCATACCATACTAATCAGGATCTTCAGTATCTTAAAAATTTGTCTGGATAATTCCAATGTGCAAGTCAAGGGTGGAACAATCCTCAATTAAGGAACTCATTCTTTGCAATTAGGTGAAAATCTATTTAAAAGCAACCACAAACACAGGCCAGGAGCAGTAGCTTACACCTGTAATCCCAGGACTTTGGGAGGCTGATGTGGGCAGATCACCTGAGGTCAGGAGTTCCAGACTAGCCTGGACAACACAGCGAAACCCCGTAACTACTAAAAATAAAAGTTAGTCGGGCACGGTGGCACATGCCTGTAGTCCCAGCTACTCGGGAGGCTGAGGCAGGAGAATCACTTGAACCCGGGAGGTGGAGGTTGCAGTGAGCTGAGATGGTGCCACTGCATTCCAGCCTGGGTGACAGAGTGAAACACTGTCTCAAAACAAAACAAAACAAAACATAAAATAAAGTAACCACACACAGGCTGGGCGCAGTGGCTCATGCCTATAATCCTAGCACTTTGGGAGGCCGAGGTGGGCAGACCACGAGGTCAGGAGTTCGAGACCAGCCTGACCAACATGGTGAAACCCCACTACACTAAAAAATACAAAAATTAGCCAGGCATGGTGATGCATCCCTGTAATCCCAACTACTTGGGAGGCTGAGGCAGGAGAATCACTTGAAATCCAGGAGATAGACGATGCAGTGAGCCACCGCACTCCAACCTGGGCTGTCTCAAAGAAAAAAAAAGTAATCACAAACAATACATGATAGAGATCAATATTATTTCTTTTCTGTATAAAATATCTTGACTTTCCAACCTTTAAACATTTTTGCGTTAGAACCCTACAGTCAGAATAGAGAATCAACTAATTTAAAAGACAATTACGTATGCATTAATAAATTGTGAATAAATTGTGCATTAATTTATATTAAATAATATATTATTTCCAACCTTAGGACAACCACATGTTATACAACTGTTTAAACATAAGGCTAACCACAATAATAACAAAATGGCTTGAAATACTTGGTTGCTGTTTAAATATAGATACTTTAATTAAGACGTTTCTTCTCTATAACTCAAATGTAAGGCTGAAAAGCAAACAGCCTGATATGTTACATAAATATCATATCTGGGACAATAGGAAATTAGAAACTTAACTTCACTATTCATGTAGTTTCTATCTTCTGGTTCTGTAACGACACCTACTGGAGACTGCTGATATTGCTTATAACCCACTTTCTGTACCTGGGATCTTGCCAGGTTCACTTCTTCATATTTACATTTTTGAGACAGGGTCTTGCTCTGTTGCTAAGGCTGGAGTGCAGTGGCGAGATCTTGGCTCACTGCAACCTCTAACTCCCAGTATCAAGCGATCCTACCACCTCAGCCTCCTGAGTAGCTGGGACTACAGTTGCACACCACCATGCACAGTTAATTTTTGTATTTTTGTAGAGAAGGGGTTTTGTCACGTTGCCTAGGCTGCTCTTAACTGTTGGGCTCAAGCAATTTGCCTAACTTGGCCTCCAAAAGTGCTTGGTTACAGGTGTAAGCTACTGTGCCTGGTCATCTACTATTTTTATTCCTAAACAGTTAGAATCCTGTTTGTTCCAAATTTGTTAGAATCCAAACAGAATGATAGGGTTTGCTTTTATCTGTTCTCAATGTTTTTATTAAAACAGACAAAACCTCCCCTTCCTTGAATATTCATTATTATTATTATAATTTAGGTGGGGATACAAAAACTATGAGCACATTAAAAATTCATTAAACTTAATAAGAAAGGATCTTTATGAAACTACAATTAGGCAATAAATCTGAAAAGAAAACTTCTCTAGAATAATAAAATCACTTTTTTAAGAGGAAAGGCTGTAAAAAGCATATTTTCTTTTTTGCTTTTCCACTTTAGACCCATCAAAGGTAGTGGAACCATTTAAGAACATCCTTAATTTAAACCCTTTGCTTAAAAGGCCAGCCCTGTTTTATCCACAGTAGTTACTGGTATATTAATCCAAATTAATTATTTTAAAGTAATTATATGCTCTATAAAAAGGTAGTTAGAGACTAGTTCAAATTTCATCCTCTCCATGAATCTTTCTTTGAATATTCCAAATCACTGTAATTTTCCTCTTCATTCATTAACAATTCAGTCATATATTCTCTTATCACCATAACCTTATAGTTACAGTATATACAGGAAACACTACAAATACATTTGGAAAAAACATTATCTTTTGAAACTGAAGCTAGTAAAAATCAGTATAAATTTCATTTACTTTTCTACGCAATGAAAGCAAATTATTCTAAGACCTGTTTCAGAGAGGTGTTGGTGATGAAACTAAAATATTTTTCTAAGTCTTCACCAAAGACATCAAGGTAAATTCTCTAACTGGTATCCTCTGGAAGACATAACTGGATAAGAAGATATAATAAAAGCTATGATCTAGTCAAATGCATTGTTGTTGGTCAAGAGACAGGAAATGAATGAATGAATCAGTGTGGATAACAGTGATTTGTAAACTATTATTAGCCACAATAGCCTATGAGAGAGATTCACTTCCCATTTAGTTTTTCCGATAGTAACAGAATTTCCTGGATAGTGGATTTTGATGTCTGAGAAATGTGTATGTCCAGTTACTAATTAAGAAACTATCATTCTCAATGAGGAATTATTATCACCCTTTGGTTTTTCAAAACAAAAGTCCATTTTTGGGGGAGGCCATCTTGTATTTATTAATTTTTCACATACAATAGCATAGGATAGAAGTCCCTACATAGTATGAGGTATACAACATGATGTTTTTAATGATGTTTTGCTCATATATACATTGTGAAATAGATTACCACAATCAAGTTAATTAAATATCTATTATCTTTGTGTATGTATGTGTGTGTGTTCTAAAGCACGGGGTCCCCAACTCCTGGGCCACAGACTGGTACTGGTCCATGGCCTGGTACTGGTCCACAGCAGGAGGTGAGTGGCAGGCAAGCAAGCATTATTATCTGAGCCAAACTCCTGTCAGATCAGCAGCGGCATTAGATTCTCACAGGAGTGTGAACCCTATTATGAACTGTGCATGTGAGGGATCATGTGCACCCCTCACAATGCCTAATAATCTGAGGTGGAACAGTTTTATCCCAAAACCTCTTCCTATCCCTACCCAGTGGACAAATTGTCTTTTGCCGAACTGGTCCCGGGTGCCTAAAAGGTTGGGGACCACTGGTCTGAAGTTCACTTTAAGTGAACTGATAAAAACCATTTAAAATCCCTCCAATTGAAGACAAATCCCTGGACCTATAATGCTTCCAAAAAGTTTCCAAGGTAAGAAAGCCTATGAGACCTAGTCTAAGAAAAAACCTAGTATGTGTCTTTGTAATGACTGCTCATAAATCAATATTCTTATGTCATTATTTTTCATTTGTATTTTCAGCTAGACGATAAGCTAACTGTGGGCAAAGTATTGTATCCACAACAGTTCTAGTGGTTTTAGGCATTTAAATCATTTCTCATTAAATATCAGTCAAATGAATAATTAAACAAGAACTTTTATTTCACCTTCACCTGTCATTTATAAGAAATTATTTACGCTAATGAGATCTCTGGCAACATTCTTCTTACCCACCAGTTCTCTATTTTCCATTCACTGAACCATTGAAGATATTTACCTTTGAGTTTCTCCCACATGAGCGCATACAACCCCAAAGAGCTTGGCTGCAGAACTAATAACTGATAGTGCTGGAGGCAGGGGCTTAGGCACTGAATCTCCCTCTACATCTTTCTCATAAATCAAATAAGGGTCATATTCAAGACTTCCGCAAGCAACACCATTACCAAGCAGGAGCTAAAAGGGAAAAAAAGTATATAAGGTTTTAAGATCACTGTTCACAGATTGAATCTACTCAAGAGTAAAAAATGGCCATACCTGTTCTTCAATAAATCTATGGTCAGTCTCTTGTAACAAAGGACTTAATATCAAAAGATCATCCTGATGACAGAGGGGTGGAAGTAAAAATGTAGATGCTGACACCTGAATATCAGGGGCAGTCAAGTCAGCAGCCAGCTCTTTGAGGATAGCACAGAGGTTTCCTGTTGAGTCACAGAAAAAGAGCAATTAGTACTATTGGTTATCTGGTGAGAGTATGGGGTTTAAAACTCAGGTTGAGCTTTAATGCACTCACTGGCCAACTTTAACATATCACAGCCGAAGATTTTATTTCTCATTCTTGAAAATTGCCCTAGAAATTACTGGCTCAACTATGTGTTGCTAGTCACAAGGTTAAGAATTGATACTAAAAGAAAATCTCAAAGTATGTGTGTATGTGTGTGTGTACATACCTGATGGTATAAAAATGACATGAAATATAAAAATAGATGTAAAAATAGATTTACAAAAGCAGGTTTGTTTTTTAAAAAAGCACAGTCTGAAAAAATTTATAAGAATTAGCCTGAGACCGGGCATGGTGGCTCACATCTGTAATCCTAGCACTTTGGGAGATGAAGGTAGGGGGATCACTTGAGGTCAGGAGTTCAAGACCAGCCTGGCCAAACATGGCAAAACCCCATCTCTACTAAAAACACAAAAATTAGCTGGGCATGGTGGCGGGTGCCTGTAATCCCAGCTACTCAGAGGCTGAGGCAGGAGAATTGGTTGAATCCGGGAGGCAGAGGTTGCAGTGAGCAGAAATCAGCCACCGCACTCTAGCCTGGGCAACAGAATGAGAGTCCACCTCAAGCAAAAAAAAAAAAAAAAAAAAAAGAAAAAAAGAATTAGCCTGAAAAAACGTAGACATGTTATTATGGAAAATTTCAAACATAAATAAATTATAGTACTATGATGATGCCTGCCCCTACCCCTTTCAGCATACGCTCATTATTCACCTTTACCAGCTGCAACAGTATTATTTCACCTACATCCCCATTCCTGATCCCACATTCCTCCACATTATTTTTAAGAAAACCCTAGGCAACACATCATTTCATTCATAAATATTTCATTGTGTATCATTAAAGTGAAACACATTTTATTTTGAACAAAATCCTGCTATATAATCTCATGTTGTTTAAAAAAAAAACAAACCACTGAACATCAGATACCCATTCAGTATTCAAATTTCCAACTATCTCAAAAACACCTGTTTTTGTTGCTTCTAGATCTAGGTAAAGTGTACACATTGCAGCTAGTTTATCTTGTCTCTTTCAATTTAGTATTCTCCCTATACTTTTCCCCTCTCTGGCAATTTATTTGAAGAAACAAGGCTATTTGTTTCGTACAATTTTCTACAGTCTGAGTTTTTATGATTATAGGCCCCTGGTATAGGTTAATTTGTTCTTCTATCTGTACTTTTTAAAAAAAATAAATTGGTAGTTGGATCTAGAAGGGGCTCATTTTTGTTTTTGGTGGTGGGCAGGGTGGGTGCAGGTTAGTTCATAAGTGGTATTGTGTTCTCCCATAACACAAGAGACAACATATGGTTGCCTCTCTAACATATACACTTTGAAAAGCTGATCCATTTATCACATTGACTGCAATTATCACCTCAAAGATGTTTTATCCTAATTTCTGCTGGGTTATCAAAAAATCTTATCCACAGAGAGCTTAAATGGTTTTTGCCAGTTTGTAACTTAAGTACTGCAGGAATGAGTAAAAATTCCCTTAGAAAAATGTTTACACTCTTCGAAGTGTTTCTTCGAACAATTACATCAGGATGAAATGAGGACTGGGGTACATCCACTGATCAGAAGCGGTAGGATGAGTTAGGAAGGGTTTACTTGCCATCACTTTCTGTATCATTAGCAGCAGTAACAGTGGTAACAACAAGTATTTATTGAAGTTTACTTTTTGTTTTTTAACAGATGGGGTCTCACAATATTGCCCAGGCTAATCTCTAAATCCAAGCCTAAGTGATCCTCCTGTCTCAGCCTCCTGAATAGCTGAGATTACATCCAGTGCTTGGCTTACTGAATACTTAATATGTGTCGGGAAAGGTACTAAAAGCTTTACATATAACCCTCATAGTAACCTAATAACGTCAGGTTAGTATGTTGTTTCACAGGTAAGGAAACAGGAACAGGGAATTTATTACTTGCCAGAGATCATATGGTGATCACACAGCTGTCAGACCGAAACCCAGTTAATTGGGCTCCAGAATTTGAGCTTTTAACCACTGTGCTGAATCACTCATCCATCCAGATTGTGTTTAATAAGCTACAGAGAAAGATTTTATTATATTTAATCTTCCTTTCAAGAAAGTATACACTATGGGATACCAATACATACATATAACTATAATAGGGGGGTAGGAACAATTATGTTTCATAAAAGATAAAAACAAAAGCACTATTAAATTTAGGGAAAGGAGAGATTACATACAGGAATTAGGAAGAGTGGACAGGGATCAATGAAGTCATAAAGATTGAGCAAATGAGAGTTGCTCAAAGGAATGTCTAAGTTTATGTATATGACACTCAGCAAAATAATTCTGTTGGTAGTACAATATACAAGGTATGTTTGTTCCTACAGCTATGTGTGAAAATAGTAGAAAATCTCTACTTCTCAGTTAAAAGTGATTACTTTCCCAACTGTCCCTGGAAAAAGTACCTAAAGATAATTAAGATAATTTTGAAATGCAAATAAACTTTTGTATAAAAATGCATGACTAACTTGCTGATGAGTTATTTTCAGTGTAGAGAATATTAAGATATTTGAAAAGAAATCCATACCTAAACTAAGACAGGAAATAAAAACTAAGAACTCAATTTTTACTCCAATCCTTCGGAAAACTAAGTCACTCTAAGACTCTAAATCTACATCTGCTGGACAGTCATGAAGAAAAGTTGTTTCAATTCTTAGATACATTCCACGTGGCAAAAGCAATTTCTTATTATGTCCTAGACACTGACTCTTTGACAACACATTGGAGGAACTGATAATATCAGAACTTTATTTATTTATTTAGAGACAGAATCTCTGCCACTTAGGCTAGAGTGCAGTGATGTGATCTTGGCTGACTGCAACCTTTGCCTACTGGGTTCAAAGGATTCTCCTGCCTCAGCCTCCTGAGTAGTTGGGACTACAGGCATGTGCCACCATGCCCAGCTAATTATTTTGTGTATTTTTAGTAGAGACGGGATTTCATCATGTTGGCCAGGCTGGTCTCGAATTCCTGACCTCAAATGATCCGTTTGCCTCAGCCTCCCAATGAGCTGGATTATAGGTGTGAGCGAATGTACCTGGCCTAGAGTTTGTTTTTTCCAGAAGTTCACAGCAAGTCCTGACTTTGTCTCCTAATGAACACTCTGGAACTGATTTGAAATATATATACATGTATATTTATTATTCCTTTAGGACTCCTGATTGCATTTCCAAACTCCAACTCTGAGAAAATCCAAGTTTAAAAAAAAAAAAAAAAAGTAGAAGACTTCAAGACTTTTTCCTCTAATTCAAGTTTTTTCAAGGGTAAGACTTACATCATCAGGCCAGGCCCAGTGGCTCATGCCTGTAATCCCAACACTTTGAGAGGCCGAGGCGGGAGGATCACTTAAGCCCAGAAATTTGAGAACAACCTGGGCAGCATAGCAAAACCTCATCTCTACAAAGGATTTAAAAAAAAAACAAAAAACAAAACTAGCTGGGAGTGGTGGTGCACACCTGCAGTCCCAGCTACTTGGGAGGCTGAGGTGGGAGGATCACTTGAGCCTGGGAGGTCGAGGCTGCAGCGAGCCAAGATCACACAACTGCACTCTAGCCTGGGTGACCGAGTGAGGCCCTGTCTCCAAAAAAAAAAAAAAAAAGCTTCCATTATTATTTATCAGAAGATACACTGTACATTTTAAGTCAAGATTCTTGTATTCCTAAATGTTTATTGAAGAGTTGAGCAGCAGTCCTTTTGGCTGGGCACAGTGGCTCATGCCTGCAATCCTAGAACTTCAGGAGGCCAAGGAGGGTGAATCACCTGAGGTCAGGAGTTCACACCGGTAATCCTAGCGCTTTGGGAGGCTAAGGAGGGTGGCTCATCTGAGGTAAGGAGTGCGAGACCAGCCTGGCCAACGTGGTGAAACCCCGTCTCTATTAAAAATACAAAAAAATTAGCCAGGCTTGGTAGTGCATGCCTGTAGTCCCAGCTACTCAGGAGCGTGAGGCAGGAGAATCGCTTGAACACAGCAGGCAGAGGTTTCAGTGAGCCGAGATCACGCCACTGCACTCCAGCTTGGGCGACAGAGCAAGATGCCGTCTCAAAAAAAAAATTTTTTTATTTTAGTCTGAAAATAAATTTCAAGATACTATTGTAAAAATCTGAAGGAAATTGCTTTTGTCACAACCTAACAGTTATCTGAGCTGTGGAACATAGAAATTATCTCTCAGCTTTTTACTAGATATCTAGCAAGTAACTTTTAAATTGATAGATGGCAAAGAATAAGATAGACATATCACTAAGCTATGATTGTTAAGTCTCTAAGTAGGTTACTTAGAAAAGGCAGCAGCACAGCATGAGGTAAATTTATGTTTTAATCTTGATTCCACTCTTTACCTGATACGTGTTCTTGAGTTGGTTTTGTAACCTAAACCTTTTGCCAAATAAGAAAAATGTAACTCGCTCACTGTATCATCCTAGGATAAATGAGATTTGATAGATACAATTTCTAACACAGTGCCTGGCCTAAGAAGGAGTTTTTTTTTTTTTTTTTTGAGACGGAGTCTCGCTCTGTCGCCCAGGCTGGAGTGCAGTGGCCGGATCTCAGCTCACTGCAAGCTCCGCCTCCCGGGTTCACGCCATTCTCCTGCCTCAGCCTCCCGAGCACCTGGGACTACAGGCGCCCGCCACCTCGCTCGGCTAGTTTTTTTGGTATTTTTTAGTAGAGACGGGGTTTCACCGGGTTAGCCAGGATGGTCTCGATCTCCTGACCTCATGATCCGCCCGCCTCGGCCTCCCAAAGTGCTGGGATTACAGGCTTGAGCCACCGCGCCCGGCCTGTTTTTTTTTTTTTTTAACTTATTTTAGGCTGGGCTAAATAGCTCACACCTGTAATCCCAGCACTTTGGGAGGCCAAGGCAGGAGAATTGCTTGAGCCCAGGAGTTTGAGACCAGCTTGGGCAACATGGCGAAATCCCGTCTCTACCAAAAATACAAAAAATTAGCTGGGCATGGTGGTGTGCCTGTAGGCCCAGCTACCCAGGAGGCTGAGGCTGGAGGGTCATTTGAGCCCAAGATCAAGGCTGAAGTGAGTCATGATTGCGTACCACTGCACACCAGCTCGGGTGAGAGAGTGAGATCCTGTCTCAAAAAAATTAAAACAAAAACAAAACCCCAAATGTATTTCTTTACTATAAGATGGTGAACACATGGATTAGGACTGAACTCCCTAAACCTCCTAGAAACAAGGCACTAAATAACTGCCATTATAATTCATTTAAATATTTAATGAGTGACAGTAATGTTCCAGGAACCATATTAGTCACAAATAAAACATTTTAGTCTAAGGCACATACCTTCATAGGTCTCAGGAGGTAATAAAATCAACAGTTCATAAAGTCTTTGTCTATAAACCACTGATGGTGTTTTCAAAGGACTTCCATACATTTTTAGTATTGAAGAAAGCCTTAAAATAAAAGAAAAAGTGTTATCTTAAGTGGTTAAGTTACATAACAATACACAAAAATTGACAGCTTAACATCTTAACATATAAATTAGTTATGTAACTTACTAACAAACATTAGTGCTGCTTTACTTTTCTTTTATGAGACAGGGTCCAGCTCTGTAGCCCAGACTGGGATGCAGTGGCATGGTCTTGGCTCACTGCAACCTCTGTCTTCTGGGCTCAAACCACCCTCCCACTTCAGATTCCTGAGTAGCTGGAAACTACAGGGTTGCACCACCATGCCTGGCTAATTTTATTTTGTATTTTTAGTACAGAAGGGTTTTGCCATGTTGCCCAGGCTGGTTTCAAACTCCTGGGCTCAAGCAATCCTCCCGCCTCGGCCTCCCAAAGTGCTAGGATTACAGGCCCAAGCCACCACACCTGGCCACAAAATATGATCTTTTTTCACACTCTCTCCTTTCATTTTCATGTACTCTTCTTTATCTTCTATTCACCTTTCCTATTGGTGTTAAGACATCACTTTACCAATGCTCATTCATTCAACAAATATTTGCTAAAGGACTACTACTGTTTTTTGTTTGTTTGTTTTGTTTTGAAATGCAGTCTCACTCTTACCCAGGCTGGAGTGGTAGTGGTAAGATCTCGGTTCACTGCAACCTCCGCCTCCTGGGTTCAAGCAATTCTTCTGCCTCAGCCTCCTGAGTAGCTGGGACTATAGGCATGCGCCACCATGCCCAGCTAATTTTTGTATTATTAGTAGAGACGGGGTTTCTCCATATTGGCCAGGGTGGTCTTCAACTCCTGACCTCGTGATCCACCCACGTCGGCCTCCCAAAGTGCTGGGATTACAGGTGTGAGCCACCACACCCGGGCAGGAATACTACTCTTAACAAGCTACGTTATCAACTAGAGTATGGTTTTCATCCTTAGCTATACAGAAGTTCAATGAAATTACTTTTATTATGTCACTGGAATAAATCTGCTAAACTGTTATGGCATGAGCTTTCTAGGTTCTCTAAGAAATTCTCACAATGTTGAGTCATTTGTACTTTCTTTTTTTTTGTTATTTTGCTTTCTGAGACGAAGTCTTGCTCTGTCGCCCAGGCTGGAGTGCAGTGGCACGATCTAGGCTCACTGCAACCTCCGCCTCCCGGGTTCAAGCAATTCTCCTGCCTCAGCCTCCCGAGTAGCTGAGACTACAGGCAAGTGTCACCACGCCTGGCTAATTTTTTGTATTTTTAGTAGAGAGGGGGTTTCATCATGTTAGCCAGGACGGTCCGATCTGCTGACCTCGTGATCCACCCGCCTCGGCCTCCCAAAGTGCTGGGATACAGGTGTGAGCCACCGCGCCCAGGCTGTACTTTCTTTTTTGTTTTTGTTGTCGAGACAGGGTCTTGCTCCGTTGCCCAGGCTGGAGTGTAGTGGCGTGATCTCAGCTCATTGCAGCCTCAACCTCCTGTGCTCAAGTGAACCTCCCACCTCAGGCTCCCAAGCAGCTAGGACCACAGGTGTGGGCCACCATGTCTGGCTAAATTTTTATATTTTTTGTAGAGATGGGGTTTCACTATGTTCCCCAGGCTGGTCTGAAACTCCTGAGCTCAAGTAATCCACCCACCTTGGCCTCCTAAAGTGTGAGGATTACAGGCATGAGCTACCATGCCTGGCCAACTGCACTTTCTAGAAAACTAATGCTTGCTATTAGTTGGCTCTAGAAGAAAGGGGAGTTATCTATTGACTTATCACTGCATATTTTAAAATGCTGGTTCCATTTAGTATCTTTCAGCTTGGTAAATACTACTTAGCAAACATAGTTGTAACACCTGGGTAGGGCCGGGCATGCTGGCTCATGCCTGTAATTCCAGCACTTTGGGAGGCTGAGGCCAGATGATCACTTGAGCCCAGGAGTTTGAGGATACAGTGAGCTATGACTGCACCACTGCACTCCATCCTGGGTGACAGACTGAAATAGTGTCTCAAAACAAAAACCAAAACCTTTATTTCAGTAGAATTTTTTAGTTACCAAAGTTAAGAATAAATCCACTGCATTTTTATATTTCTCTAAGGCCAGATCAGAAATAAATAGCTAACATATGAAAAGTCTTTCAATCATATTCACAAGATGTTAGGAAATTATATTTCTAAAAATCCTGCAACATTCACTTATTTTAACTATAAAAAAATTTAGTTCGGAGAAGTGCATGTGTATGTTTTTTAAAAAGATGAATAGAACAAAGTAAGAATTTAGAAAAGCATTTTTATTGGTTTCTGCTTTCATTAGGAGGGCAGATTATAGTCCCTGCAGGGCCTTCCTGCTACTTACTTAGGTAAGTATAAACAAGTATAAATAAATCTTTTATCAGGATAAAAGATAATTTGCATTTTATACTTATAGAAAGAGACTTTTCTGAGGCCAATCAACCCCTATGCCAATGAAAGCAAGCAAACATACATTTAAAAAAAATGAAACAAGACATAAGTTGAAACCAGAGTAGGCACACAAATATCAATACCAACACAAGGCTCTGAGACAAAGCTTGCACCCATGGTAGGGGTGTAAAACCCATTCATTTTAAGAAACTTTCACCAAACCAAACTAGGAATAGAAGGTTACTCTCTTAATCTGATAGAGTAGCTACTAAAAAAGCTGGAGCAAACATCATTCTATCAGTAAAACATGAAAAGCATTCCCTTTATTTAACCCTTTCTATTTAGTTTTAAATGGCAGTTCTCTAGTATAGTTAGCACATAAGGAAGAGAGAAACAATATTGTAAAAGGAAAAATCTAGATGAATCTACAAATAAATGTTTGATATGAGAAAATTCAGTAAGGTGGTTGGATATAAAATCAAATACATTTTTATAAGGCAGCAATAAACAGACTATATATACTATATACCCATCTATTTAATAATTACAACAAAAATACAAAGTACCTGGGAGTAAAGTTTTTAAAAAGACTTGTAAGACCTTTATTCAGAAAAAAATTTAAACTTTGTAAAATACCTCAATAATAGTATAGAGGTATCATGTTCATGGGTATTGTAAAACTATGAATTATCTTCAAATTTATCCACAGATTCAATGCAATCTTAAATAAAATTTATCTTATTATTATTATTTTTCTTGAGATGGAGTCTCACTCTGTTACCCAGGCTGGAGTGCAGTGGCATGATCTTGGCTCACTGTGGCCTCTGTCTCCTGGTTTCAGGCGATTCTCCTGCCTCAGCCTCTTGAGTAGCTGGGATTACAGGCATGTGCCACTATGCCCAGCTAATTTTTTTTTTTTTAGTACAGATGGGGTCTCACCATGTTGGCCAGGCTAGTCTTGAACTTCTGACCTCAAATGATTCGCCCACCTCAGCCTCCCAAAATGCTAGGATAGCGTGAGCCACTGTGCCCGGCCCCAAAAAAAATTTCAGTAGAAGATCAAAAGTGCATGAAGGGCCAAAATATGTCTAAAGAGGAATAAGGTCAAAAGGCTTAATCTAACATATAAAATGTATTATAAAGATAACATGTTGGCATATAAATAAACACACCAATAGAGACCACAGGCATAGATCATGCATAAATGAGAATATAATACATGACAGAAGTGAATGGCAATCATTGAAGGAAGTATGGATTTTTTTTAGTAAAGTACGGGACAGTTAGTTATCCACATTTAAAAAGAAAACGAAATTGAATCCTGCTATGGTCTGAATGTGTCCTCCAAAATTCATGTATTCGAAACTTAATCCCCAATGTAGTACTATTGGGAGGTAGGGAATTTTGGTAGGTGTTCAGGTCATGAAGGCAAAGCCCTCACAAATGGATTAAAGTCATTATTAAAGGGCTTCATGGAGGGAGTTTGGCCCTTTTTTTTGCCCTTCTATCCCTTTGCCAGATGAAGAAGGCACAGAGTTCCTACCCTCCAGAGAATGTAGCAACAAGGTGCCATCTTGGAAGCAAACAGCTGGTTCTCACCAGACACCAAATCTGCTGGTGTCTTATCTTGGACTCCTGCCTCCAGAACTGTTAGAAATAAGTGTCTGTTTTTTTTTTTTTTGAGACGGAGTCTCACTCTGTCGCTCAGGCTGGAGTGCAGTGGCGCGATCTCGGCTCACTGCAAGTTCCGCCCCCCGGGTTCACGCCATTCTCCTGCCTCAGCCTCCTGAGTAGCTGGGACTACAGGCACCCGCCACCGTGCCCGGCTAATTTTTTGTATTTTTAGTAGAGACGGGGTTTCACTGTGTTAGCCAGGATGGTCTCGATCTCCTGACCTAGTGTCTGCTTTTTAATAAATTATCCAGCCTCAGGTATTTTGTGATAGCAGCATAACAGCACAAATGAACTAAGACAGATCCCAAGCTCACTCCAAATAGAAAAATCAGTTCCAGATGACTTAAATATGAAAGACAAACCTTCAAACAATTCAGAGAGAAATATAAGAAAATACAACTTTGCAGTAAGGAAGACTTTTTTTTTTTTTTGAACCGGGGTCTCGCTCTGTCATCCAGGATGGAGAGAAGTGGCGCAATCAAGACTACAGCCTTGAATTGCAGTGCTCAAGCAACCATTCTCACCTCAGCCTCCTGTGTAGCTAGGGCTACTAGTGAGCACCACTACGTCTGGCTTTATTCATTTATTTATTTATTTATTTTGGTAGAGATGAGACCTCGCTATATTGCTCAGGCTGGTCTCAAACCCCTGGTCTCAAGCAATCCTCTCACCTCAGTCTCCCAAAGCACTAGGATTACAGGCATGAGCCACTGCCCCTAGACAGGAAGAATTTTTAAACAAAAAGAAAGAAAGTACTAACCAAAGAGTAAAAGACTGATACATCTGACATTTAAATAATAAATGCATATTAATAAAAAAACTAGAAGACATTTTTAACATTTTAATGAACAGCTAAAGAATAGTCTCAGAAATATGTAGGCCAGGCATGGTGACTCACAAGATAATCTAAGCACTTTGGGAGGTCAAGGCAGGAAGATCGCTTGAGCCCGGGAATTTGAGACCACTCTAGGCAACATAGTGAGGCCCTGTGTCTACAAAAAAAGTAAAAAATTAGCTGGGTGTGGTGGTGCACACCTGTAGTTCCAGTTACTTGGGAGGCTTAGGTGGGAGGATCACTTAAGCCTGGGAGCTTGGGGCTGCAGTGAACCATGATCACACCACTGCACTCCAGCCTGGGTGACAGAGCAAGACCCTGTCTCAACAACAACAAAAAAGGCTGAGCATGGTGGCTCATGCTTGTAATCCCAGCACTTTGGGAGGCTGAGGCGGGCAGATCATTTGAGGCCAGAAGTTCGAAACCAGCCTGGCCAACGTGGCAAAATCCTGTCTCTACTAAAAATATAAAAATTAGCCAGGTGTAGTCATGCATGCCTATAATCCCAGTTACTAGGGAGACTGAGGCAGGAGAATAATTTGAAACCAGGAGGAGGAGATTGCAGTGAGTGGAGATCACACCAAGGTACTCCAGCCTGGGCAACAGAGCAAAACTCTGTCTCAAAAAAATCCCCAAAACGGCCGGACACAGTGGCTCATGCCTGTAATCCCAGAACTTTGGGAGGCCGAGGTGGGTTTATCACCTGAGGTCAGGAGTTTGAGACCAGCCTGGTCAACATGGTGAAATCCTGTCTCCACTAAAAATACAAAAATTAGCTGGGCATGATGGTGTGTGCCTGTAATTCCAGCTACTGAGGAAGCTGAGGCAGAAGAATCGCTTGAACGGGGACCTGGGAGGTGGAGGTTGCTGTGACCCGAGATCGTGCCACTGCACTCCAGTCTGGGTGACAGAGCCAGACTCCATCTCAAAAAAAAAAAAGGAAGAGGCCGGGCGCAGTGGCTCAAGCCTGTAATCCCAGCACTTTGGGAGGCCTAGACGGGCGGATCATGAGGTCAGGAGATTGAGACCATCCTGGCTAACACGGTGAAAACTCGCCTCTACTAAAAGAAAAAAATACAAAAAACTAGCCGCGCGAGGTGGCGGGCGCCTGTAGTCCCAGCTACTCGGGAGGCTGAAGCAGGAGAATGGCGTAAACCCGGAAGGAAGAGCTTGCAGTGAGCTGAGATCCGGCCACTGCACTCCAGCCTGGGCGACACAGCGAGACTCCATCTCAAAAAAAAAAAAAGGAAGAATTTCTTATAAATTAATAACAAAAAGACAACCTAAAAGAAAGATAGGTTAAAGATATGAATGAATAGGCATTTCATAGGATGGGGAGGGGAAATACTGAGAAAAAACAAACACATAAAATTATACTTAAACCGTCAGGAAACCGATATACAATTGATATCATTTTATACCTATTAGATGGGGTAGAATTGATATCTGAGAAAGTGTTGGTGAAAAAGTGGTCAAAGGATACTTACACTATTGGTAGAAATACAGAAGAACACTGAAAAATAATTTGGTATTATTTTCTGAAGTTGAACATAAAAATACATTAGCTTTAAAAGCAGAAAACTAGAAATAACTCAGAAGTTCATGGACAAGAGAATCAATATGTTGTTGTATATTCGCACAATTAAATATTATACAGTATCCAAAATGAATGAAGTTAAACAAAGGTAAAACTTAGAAACATAATGTTGAATAACAAAAGCAAGTCCCAGAAACAGGACAGTAATTTTTGCCTGATCAAAACCAAGCAAACCTAAACAATGTGCTATTTTAAGAAACAAAAATACGTGATACATTTTTTTAAAAGACAAGGAAATGACAACTATAAAATTCAGATTAGTGGTTGCTTCTAAAGGAAGGCAGAAAGAATGGTGCTGGAGAGGGGCACAGAGACACCTTCAATAGTATCATTAATGCTCTAGTCCAGTGGTAGCCAAATTATGACCCACTGCCTGTTTTTGTAAATAAAGTTTTATTGGAACATAGCCACATTCATTCATTCATTCACCTATTATCTATGACTGCTTTTGAGCTGCAATGACAGAGTTGAGTAGCTGCAATACAGACTTCATAGTCTGTATATACTAAAATATTTACTATCTGGTCCTTCAGAAGAAACATTTGCAAACCTCTGCTCAGGGTGTGTTGGATTCACAAGTGCACATTTTATTATTATACCTTATAAGCCATATCTTAAACGTATTTTTCTGTACATATAAAGTGTTAATCATTAGATGCTTTTTTCAAAGAACTTTCACATGTTTTATTAATTTGGAAATTACAAGTGCTCACATTATATATTGGCTTTTCTCTATACGTTTTAATCATACATGTATAACTCAAACTTATGAAAAATACAAACAAACAAAAAATTGAAACTGTTAGAAGCATCTGGTTCTCATGAACACTGAATAATCTAACAAACCAATAAAATGCATACCTGAAAAGGTTAAGAGTCTTAATAGTTATTTTCTTGTTAAATCTGCCTGTAAGGTAGATTATTCCCCCCAAAATTTCCTTCCCCTTTAATATGTAATTTTCTTTCAAGACCTTAGCCTAAAAAAAAAATCATATAACTAACTGATTGCCTTCCTCTATAAAATCATTCACCAACTATAGAAATTTGCCTTATTAATGTACTTAAGGAATATTACATAATCAGAGGGCAACTAATTCCTCTTAGAAAATTTTAGCAAATCTAAATAGTCGATCCTTACTGAGTTAGCAAATCCACAGCACAAGGAAGTGGTGGAAGAAGACGCTGAATTACTTCCTCAGTAAGGAGATCACCACAGTGGGAAACAAAGCTCTTGATAGCTGAAAAGGAAAACAGACTTTTACTTGGGCATACTGTAATCAACCATGAAAGGCACATTTGATTATGGTATAACATTAGCATTCTTGTTAGAGTAATAAAGCAATTTGCTAAAATAAAAAAATTCCTGAAACTGTAGTATAAAAAGGTACATAGTGCCTTCTACTCCTAATCATACTTAAAAAAAAAAAACTCTCTAGGATTACTAAGATGAAGCAATAACCGTATTCACAAAATGCTGCTGTCCTAAGGTTTTACTTTTACTCAGCCCTCAAGCTTAGAAGCAAAAAAAAAAAAAATCAGCTTAGACTCTCAAGTTTTCCAGCTCTACAACTAGTTTCGTGGAATCACATTGACTTTCAAGTCAGCATGTTAGGTTTTTACAGATGTTATCTGAAACAAATAGTGTGTGCTACCACTCCCGGCTAGTTTTTGTATTTTTAGAAGAGACGGGGTTTCACCATGTTGGCCAGGCTTGGTCTCGAACTCCTGGCCTCAAGTGACTGACCTGTCTGCCTGGGTCTCCCAAAGTGCTGGGATTATATGAGTGAGACACGGCGTCCAGCCCGAAATAAATAACTTTCTATAATGAATTACTTTTGTACATAGAATAAGATGTACGTAGAATAAGATGAGTATTTTTAAGTCAGACCGGGCCAGGCGCAGTGACTCACACCTGTAATCCTAGCACTTTGGGAGGCTAAGGAGAGCAGATCACCTGAGGTCCGGAGTTTGAGACCAGCCTGACCAACATGAAGAAACCCGTCCCTACTAAAAATACAAAATTAGCCGAGCATGGTGGTGCATGCCTGTAATCCCAGCTACTCAGGAGGCTGAGGCAGGAGAATCACTTGAACCCGGGAGGCAGGGGTTGTGGTGAGCCAAGATCGCGCCATTGCACTCCAGCCTGGGCAACAAGAACGAAACTCCGTCTCAAAAACAAAAAACAAAGTCAGACTGATCAATTCTTCTCTCTTTCTCTCTCTCTTTCTCCCTCCCTGCCTCCCTCCTGCCCCCACCTCCCCCACCCCTGGACCCTTTGAGACAGAATCTCACCGTTGCCCAGGCTGGAATGCAGTGGTGCAATCACAACTCACCAAAGCCTCCACCTCCCAGGCTCAGGTAATCCTCCCACCCCAGCCTACAGGCATGCTCCATCATGTCTGGCTAGTTTTTGCATTTTTTGTAGAGAGAGGATTTCACCATGTTGTCCAGGCTGGTCTTGAACTCCTGAACTCAAGCAATCCACTCATCTCAGCCTCCAAAAATGCTGGGATTAGTCGTGAGCCACTGAATCTGGCTAAGATCAATTTCAAAAGTGGTCTTTAAGAGTAAAAAGGCCTTGAATAAAAACCAAAACCAATGCTTCCACATCTTTCCAGGGATCTCACCCTTCATGGTGAAATATTATTATTTTATTTTATTTTTGAGACAGAGTTTTACTCTTGTCATCCAGGCTGGAGTGCAATGGCACATTCTCAGCTCACTACAACCTCTGCCTCTCGGGTTCAAACGATTCTCCTGTCTCAGCCTCCCGAGTAGCTGGGATTACAGGCACCTGCCACCACATTCGGCTATTTTTTTTGTATTTTTAATAGAGACGGAGTTGCACCATGTTGGCCTGGCTGGTCTCGAACTCCTGACTTCAGGTGATCCGCCCGCCTCAGCCTCCCAAAGTGCTGAAATTACAAGTGTGAGCCACTGCGCCCAGCCAAAACATTACTTTTAACAGTCTATATATTGTAGAAGGTACAACTTTCATATACAGGTGACCCTTGAACACCACAAATGTGAACTTCCCAGGTCTATTTATACGTGGATTTTTTTCAACAGATGCCACACCGAGTGTGCCTACCTCTCCTGCCTCCCCTTCCACCTGCTCCACCTCTTCTGCATCTGCCTCCACTGAGAGAAGTAGATCAACCCCTTCTCTGCCTTCTCAACATAAAGACGATGAGGATGAAGACCTTTATGATGATCTACTCCCGTGTAATGAATAGTAAATATATTTTCTCTTCCCTATGATTTTCTTAATAACATTTTTCTTTTGTCTAGCTTACCCTAAGAATACAGTATATAATATATACAACATACAAAATATGTGGGGCTGGGTGTGGTGACTCACGCCTGTAATCCCAACACTTTGGGAGGCTGAGGTGGGAGGATTGCTTGAGGTCAGGGGTTCAAGACCAGCCTGGGCAGCATAGTGAGACTCCCTCTCTACAAAAAGTTTAAAAATTAGCTGGGCATGGTGGCATACACCTGTGGTCTCAGCTACTTGGGAGGCTGAGGTGAGAGCATCACTTTAGCCCTGCAGGCCAAGACTGCAGTGAGCTGTGTTCACACCACAACATTCTAGCCTGGGCAACAGTGAGACCCTGTTAAAAAAAAAAAAAAGTGGTAATTGACTATTTATGTTATCAGTAAGGTTTCTGGTCAACAGTAGGATATTAGATACATTTTTGGGGAGTTAAAAGTTAGACACAGATTTTTTGACTTTGAGGGGCACTGGCATCTTTAACCTCTATGCTGTTTAAGGGTCAACTGTATAGGCTAAATGGAAACCATTCTTAACGGTAATTAAACCAAACCTTAGTATTTCTGAAAAGAGGAATGAATGCTTACCTAAGACAAAACAATGTTGACAGTTTTTAACTGGACTGCACCTAATAAAACATGTATCTTAAGAACTCTCAAATCTGGTTTATTATATCATACACCAGTTTATCATTACCAATTAATCAGTTAAAATTTTTTTGTTCAGCAACAAAAAAAAAATCATTAGTGGCATATCCCCCTGCCTCACGTTAAATAAAACATACAAGTACATGTTAAAGATAAAAGGTGGATAAAAAGCCAAAGGAAAGGGAGAGACAAGACTAAATCCAACCTACCACACAGTGCACCAGCTCGTCCTTCCAGGGTTACCTGCCATGTAAACGAATCTCCTCGGCTCTTTTCTGTTTCTAGATCTTTAGGAGATGCTGGAAAGACACACTTCCACAACAGCAGAACTCGAGCAAGGTGATGGCTAACAACTGCAGGACCTGTAATTTATTCAACTTGTCACTTGAAAGAGAATCCAAGGTTGTCACTCTTTAAAACTCTATTATTAAGCAGGAACTTCTCTCCTAAACATTTTAATTCATTATTGCAATATTTTGTCCCTTCTTCAGGTTCCAAATTATCTTCAGGTTCCAAATTATTACTGAATGAATTATTATCTGAAGGTGCCGGAGTCCAGAGAGGAAAAACAAGGAACTAATGGTATAGGCTGGGCTCTAGTGTCAGCTCCTCCACTACTGCTATGTTGCCTTTGAGACTCAGTTTCATCTACATATTAAACGAAGCTAAAACCCCCTGTAATGCTTGTCTTTAAGGGCTTGTCAGGTCCAAATGATAGAATGCACTTTAAAGAACTCTGAAAAGCTGTAATGGACCACACAAATGCAAGGTACAATTATTATAGTAACAAACAACATAGCATGCTTTTTGAGACAGGTTCTTTCTCTGTCCCCCAGGTTGGAGTTTAGTAGTGCAGTGGCATGATCACAGCTCACTGCAATCTCAATCTCAACCCCCCTGAGCTTAAGTGATCCTTCCCCCTCAGCCTCCTGAGTAGCTGGGACTACATGTGCGTGCCACCACACCCAGCTAATTTTTGTATTTTTTTGTAGAGATGGGGTCTTGCCATGTTGCCCAAGCAGGTCTGAACTCCTGGGCTCAAGCAATCCACCCACTTCAGCCTCCCAAAGTGCTGGAATTACAGATGTGAGCCAACTGTATTCTTGATCTTCAGAATAATGCTACCTTCTGATAGCAACTTGTTCCAGGTCAAAAATCAGATACAAAATGTCTGAATAGAATATTTTTTGTTAAAAAAAGGTTTCAGAGGAACATTTATGAACTGAAGGAATCATGACACAAACCCAGTAATAATACAAAACAACGTGCAATAACATTATCAATTTTTTAAAAACCCAAACCCATAGCTTTTCTCCCCAGGTACTCTTCTTTAAATTTCTGGAGTTACCTTAAACTTCTTCAATAAGCACTCTCTACTTCTTACTCCCACATTCCGCTGACTGTATGTCTTTCTACTGTTCCAAACCCATAGCTCAGAACTGCATTTGGCTTTGGTGGGAGACTGCCTAGATTAATATCCTGGCTCCATCCACTTATTAGTTGTGTAAACCTGGATGAGTTATTTAACCTTTTTGTGCCTCAATTTCTTCATCCATAAATGGGGAGAGTAACAGTATTTTATTCAAAGGACAGTTTCTGAGGTGTATATCAGTTTATACACAGAACAGCACTTAGAGCTGGGCAAGGTGGCTCATGACTGTAATCCCAGCACTTTGAGAGGCTGAGGCTGAAGGATTGCTTGAGGCCAGGCATTTGAGACCAGCCAGGTCAACATACCAAAATCTCTCTACAAAAAAGTAAAAAGTTAGTTGGGAGTGGTAGCACATGCCTGTAGTCCCAACTACTTGGGAGGCTGAGGCAGAAGGATCATTTGAGCCTAAGAGATCAAGGCTGCAGCAAGCTATGGTCTGACTGTGCCCCTGTAACAGAACAAGGGCCTTTCTTTAAATAAATAAATACTTATTATTATAATGTATCTAGCAAACACAACACACATACACACACACTTTATGAGCCATCCACAGAGAGACAAGATATGGAGGAATCTGGAAATCCAAGTTTTTTTATATGGCATCAGATAAACTGGGAAGTGTATCAAAAAAGGTTTAAGTGTGTAGTTCACATTCAAGGAATGAATGTGTTTTGTGTTTACATTAGTTCACAGTGAAATAATGAAGAAAATTATAAATTATAAAGGGAATGATAAAAACAGAGAAGACATGTTTAAAATGCAAAGCAAAAATTAACAAAGCACTAAGACTGCTGTCTAAAACTCATTCCCAGCTGGGCACCGTGGCCCATGCCTGTAATCCAAGCACTTTGGAATGGCAAGGCAGGAGGATCACTTGAGCCCTGGAGTTCAAGATCAGCCAGGGAAACAGCAAGATCCCCTCTCTACAAAAAAAATTTAAAAATTAGCTGAGTGTAGAGGTGCAAACCTATGGTCCTAGCTAGTTAGGAGGCTGCGGCAGGAGGACTGCATGAACCCGGCATTCAAGGCTGCAGTGAGCTATGATGGTGCCACTGTACTCCAGTCTGGTAACATGGTGAGACCCTGTCTCCTAAAAAAATTAAAAAAAAAAAAAAATTCCATTTCCCACAAAAGGAATCAAGGTTCCTTGGAGAAATGGCTGATGGCAAGCCTAAGGCAGAAAATGTACAATGTAAAACCTGGGACATCTTGCATGCAAAAACACATTATCAAAGAATGCTAGGTTCACGTTAAAAGGACAAATGAACCAACTTGAAGGGACTCCCAACGACCAAAGATGAGACAATTTGATGATCGAAAGGAATAATGATCGCAAGTGATTAAAACATGTAAATCTATAAAATTCCATGAGCTCATAATGATACCTAAAAACAAAAACCTCACTGGTCCCCCCGAAAGTTGCTATGATACTAACGCATTCTAAAAATTGATAATAGCCCAGGTGCAGTGACTCACTCCTGTAGTCCCAGAACTTTGGGAGGTCAAGGCAGGCAGATTGCTTGAGTCCAGGAGTTTAAGACCAACCTGGGCAACATGACAAAACCCCATCTTTACAAAAAATTAGCCAGGCGTGGTAGTGCACAGTCCCACAAGAGGCTGAGGCAGGTGGATCACCTGAACCTCCAGAGGTCGAGGCTGCAGTGAGTCATGATTGTACCACTGCACTCTAGCCTGGATGACAGAGTGAGACCCTGTCTCAAATAAATAAATAAATGAATAAGAATAAAAATCGATAATAAAGGGAAAGAACAGTTAAGAAAAATGAGTAAAACCCAAGAAAACAGAGTAACTAAACAAAACCTTAATTAAAACTTTTAATCCCTTTTTGTATGCTGATTATGAATATGCAGTAAAATATGATGTACAGGAGAAAGGACCTCTTGTTGTCTTCCTCCAACACAATTACCTTGTTTTAAAAGCTCTTGTTTATCAAAATGCGATTAGATAGTTTATTTCCTCCTTAATTCACCAGGAACTTCAATACGGCAGGCATGAACATCCAGCAATAAGCAAATAAAAGCTTGACTACATTATTCCCAGCACACTGTGAAATGATGATCTATGCTTTGGGCTAACAAACACTTTCTGTAAAGGGGCAGATAGTAAACATTTGAGGCTTTGAGAGCCATATACTTTCTGTTGCAATTACTCAACTCTGCCACTGTACACCTAAAGGTCACAGACAATCCACTAACAAGTGTGGTTGTATGCAAATAAAACTATGAATGCTGAAACATGACTTTCACATGATTCTCATGTATCACAAAAAATATTTTTTTCCCAACCATTAATAAATATAAAAACTGTTCTTAGCTCACAGGCTGTGTAACAAATATTGATGGCAGGCCAAATTTGGCTCCTTGAGGCTAAACCTGATCTAGTTCAATAAATCTCTTTAATCATCTTAAGAACACTACTTAAAGTAGTTCTTCATTTCTGACTGTTTATTCTCATTTAAGCTCCTTTAGGTCAAATTACTTTATAGGTGTCAAAATGATTTATTGGCCAAATCCAGCCAGTTGCTTTATTTTATTATTATTTATTATTTTTATTTTTCGAGACAGAGTCTTGTTCTGTCACCCAGGCTGGAGTGCAGTGGCATGATCTCAGCTCACTGCAACCTCTGCCTCCTGGGTTCAAGCAATTCTCCCTGCCTCAGTCTCCCCTGTAGCTGGGACTACAGGCACATGCCACCGCACCTGGCTAATTTTTGTATTTTTTTTAGTACAAGCAAAGTTTCACCATGTTGGCCAGGCTGGTCTCGAACTCCTGACCTCAGATGATCCGTCCGCCTAGGCCTCCCAAAGTGCTAGGATTACAGGTGTGAGCCACTGCGCCCGACTTATTTTTGTTTTGTTTTGTTTTTGAGAAGGAGTCTTGCTCTGTCACCCAAGCTGGAGTGCAGCGGTGCAATCTCACTTCACTGCAACCTCCACCTCCTGGGTTCAAGCAATTCTCTTGCCTCAGCTTGCCGAGTAGCTAGGACTACAGGCATGCGCCACCAGGCCCGGCTAATTTTTGTATTTTAGTAGAGACGTGGTTTCACCTTGTTGGCCAGGCTGATCTTGAACTCCTGACCTCGAGTGATCCACCCACCTCAGCCTCCCAAAGTGCTAGGATTATAAGCATAAGCCACCATGCCCTGCCTCAGCCAGTTGTTTTATATGTGAGCTATAATTTGTATGACAACAGAGACTTAAAATATAGGTGTGATAAAGTAATAAAATTAAGTTTCATTAGACTGGGCAATAAATAAATAAATAAATACATAAATAAATAAAGTTTTCAGTGGCTCATGCTTATAATCCCAACACTTTGGGAGGCCAAGGTGGAAGGACTGCTTGAGCCCACGAGTTCAAGACCAGCCTGGGCAACATAGTGAGACCCCATCTCTACAAAAAAAATTTAAATATTAGCCAGGCATGATGTTGCACGCCTGTGGTCCCAGCTACCTGGGAGGCTTGGGTAGGAGGATCACTTGGGTCCAGGAGGTCAAGGCTGCAGTAAGCCATGATCATGCCACTGCACTCCAGCTCGTGTGACAGAGTGAGACCCTGTCTCAAAAATTTACAGGATATAAATAGTCATGACTGTAAAACAATTACTGTTTTTTAATAAATATAATTTAAGTGAAATTCAGTCCCTTCAATGTAGCAACCTTATTGGCTGTTATGAATCCTCAAACAATTATAGAACTGGATTCCCATGCTATGGATATGTTCTTTTGCCTATATTGTGGAAATTTTTTTTTCTGAAGATGGATGTCAATGATTTTTGAAAAAGCCACAGTCGTTCAGAGGTAAGCCTGAAAGATGATTAGTAAATCAGCTTGTCCTACTTGAGACTTACAATCTAGTCCAGAAGAGAAAATCAAGAGAGGTCTCAAAAGGTTTTAAGCAATAAAGAAAGTAAAAGGCTTTTTAAGGTGACTACTAGAAGAAAAATGTTTGTGTGGCTATTTAAATTCTAGTACGTATTAAAAGTTAGTTTCATCAAATCACATACAAGAATCCTTTCACTCAGAAAACACAAAGTATTTCAAGGTATGTAAACCTTCTACAGACTGTTACCTAATGTCATCAGAGCAGCAATCAGCAACCATCCAGCTTGTGTGCGCTGAGCTGAAAGGCGACTGTTTTGAGCAGCAGAACACAGCAAATCCTCTGCTAATGTCATAATAATCTATTTACATATAGAAGAACAAGTTTTAAAAAAAAGCATATCAGTTTATAAATTACTAAATGATAGCAGCTAATAATAATCTCTTGAATTAATTCTTACATAAAATAAATGTAAACGATAAAGAATTCTCATTCATGTAGACTACATAATAGGACTGTCATAAAGGAAACGATAAAAAATTAAGTTTTCAAGGTTAAATACTGGTATATGAGGTAGTACACAACAACCTCATAATTTTTTGTAGAGCACATGTGACAACAATGTAAGATTATTCAACTATAGCTGTACAGAATTTGAATTTACTTTTAGTTTTGAGCAACCATCCTTTTAAATCCATAATTACCCAAAAAAGTTTTCTTACAGGAGTCTCTCTCTTAAAAATGCTACATACGGCCGGGTGCGGTGGCTCACGCCTGTAATCCCAGCACTTTGGGAGGCTAAGGCGGGTAGATCACAAAGTCAGGAGATCGAGACCATCCTGGCTAGCACACTGGAACCCCATCTCTACTAAAAATGCAAAAAATTAGCCAGGCGTCGTGGCACGTGCCTGTAGTCACGGCTACTCGGGAGGCTGAGGCAGAAGAATTGCTTGAACCCAGGAGGCGGAGGTTGCAGTGAGCCGAGATTACGCCACTGCACTCTAGCCTGGGCGACAGAGTGAGACTTAGTCTCAAAAAAAAAAAAAAAAAAGGCTACATACTACTTTTTTTTCTTTTTTTTTGAGATGGAGTCTCACTCTGTCGCCCAGGCTGGAGTGCAGTAGCATGATCTCGGCTCACTGCAAGCTCTGCCTCCTGGGTTCAAGCCATTCTCCTGCCTCAGCCTCCCGAGTAACTGGGACTACAGGCGCTTGACACCACGCCTGGCTAGTTTTTTGTATTTTTTAGTAGAGACTGGGTTTCACCGTTAGCCAGGATGGTCTCGATCTCCTGATCTCGTGATCCGCCCGTCTCGGCCTCCCAAAGTGCTGGGATTACAGGCTTGAGCCACCACGCCCGGCCTACATACTACTTTTATAACTCAGTAGCTGATAATAGTCTTCCAAGAGGTAGTATACTATAGTGGTTAGAGGTAGTCAAAATAGTCTCACACTGAAGAGTGAAATTTATTAAAATGTCGTAGTAAAAAAGTCTATGAGGCTGGGCACAGTGGCTCATGCCTGTAATCCCAAAGACTCAGAAGGCTAAGCTGGGAGGACCAATTGAGGCCAGAAGTTCAAGATCAGCCTAGGAGTAAGCTATGATCACACCACTGCACTGCCGTCTGGGCAATAAAGAAAGACCATGTCTTTTTGGAAAAAAAAAAAAAAAAAAAAAAGGACAAGCCTTGGCAACAGAATGAGACCCTATCTTCACAAGAAAAATAATTAGCCAGGCAATGGAAGCATGCGCTTGTAGTTTCAGCTACTTGGGAGGCTGAGATGGGAAGATCACTCGAGCCCTGGCATTTGAGGCTGCAGTGATCTATGATCTCACCACTGCACTCTGGCCTAGGTGACAGAGCAAGACCCTGTTTCAAAAAAAAGGGGTCCATGAAATAGGCAGTGTTATAAACAACAGAGAGGAAAAACCAGACATTTCACATTTACGGATAACGTATGATTACATATTACAAAGGCCAGAGAGCATCTAATATGAGAAAACATCTATTACCAATCACCTCTGAAAAAGCAGGAAGTATTATGAGTTGGCATACAAATTTTTTAAAGAGGAAGACTAGTGTATTTTAAAACAACAAACCAACTTACTACTAATTTAGGACTCCCTGCAGCTTATACAGTCAATGGATAGCACTCAAAAAGAGTGAGGACAAAACAAATCATTCTAGTCAAATCAGAACAAGTGGATCTTCTCCTGGAAAGAAATTCCAAATATAATATGGGAATGGGAACCTTGTCTGAATTAATGAGATATGAGAATAGGTTTAATTAAATACATTCAATGACAAGTCTTTGCTTAGCAAGATGCGATGTGTTAAGAATATAACTAAAATAATAAATTCAAATAAATAATCTCATCTTCCAAAGTTGTTACCTATCTTATTTCAACGGCACTGGCAATACTCAAAATATTTTTTGAATTGCTCAAGTTATGGAATGGTCTTTTGCAGAGCCTACCATGTGGTGGATATCCTATCAAACTCCATAATGACACAAGAGTGGCAATGAGAAAGAAAGGAATAATGGTGATATATTTTTTCAAATATATTTACGAATTTGTGAGAGGTTATAAGGGTTATAAGGGCTTTCACTGTCAAATAATGTTCTCTGACAACTTACAATTCCTAGCTGTTAAATAAGAAGCAAAATTCAAACACCATGCTTGCCTAGTTATATTATCTAGGTTTCATTAAAATTTTTCTTTAGTTCTCTTCAAAATTCTTTGTACATTAAAACTGGGTTATTTATTCACTAGGTTTGTATCATTTATTTGTCTGAGAGTGCTGGATTCTAAATTTACTTAGAAAATGAAACTTTTTGGTAGCAATACAATTTGGAGAAGCTGAATATCATTATGAACTCATGAAATTTTATATATTATCTAGTATGTTTTAATTCCCTGTAGTCATTATTAATTTTGATGTATAACATGCCGTCTTTGATCAGTGGGAGTCCCTTAAGTTACCTCCTTTTAAAATGAACACAGTATTCCTTGATGACTTCCTTACTTTCTGGCATGACAAGATATCCCAAGTTTACGTTGTGCATTTCCTGCCCCACACCTGAAAGCAGCCATTGCTTCATGGAGTCCTGACTCCTTTTTGGTTGGAAACAGTATTTAGAGCTATAACCTGGGCACTGGGGTATCCCCGACACTGGGTCATCACTGCTTTTAGGCCTGTTCACTGCACAAAAGGAGGATGTAAGTATTTTCGAAAAATTAAAATGAGCTCATACTGATAATTTCAATTTGAATCTAACGTATGGGGCTTTTACTTAATCTCAATTCTACAGTTACAGTTCTTTTTACTTATATTGAAAATCTTGGTTCCTAAGAACATTAACATAATTATTTATCTACTTGATCTTAAGATATGTAAACTATTTTTAAAGTAATACCACCAATAATACTACTAACTAAATTATTAAATATTAAGTTTAGTTATTTAAGATTTCTTTTGCAGATCTATTTATCCTCTGCAATAAAATTTTAAATGTACTTACATGGCAGGGCTAGATGTACAGAAAAATAAAGCATTCAGTAACAAATTCTGTTACTATGTGAAAACACTTCTAACAAAAAGCACCACGTTATAATATATAGAGAATGAAATCATTACCTTGCCTTTTCCATGAGGAATTCCTAAAGGACAATGTTTTACTGCTCCCAACAAAGCTGCCACAGCAAAACTGAAGCCAGTCACTGCTTCAGGTGAAGACTTATGTCCAGTAAGCCGTTCAAGGCAACGATCCAAGAGTGGTGTTAGGTAGGAGGGTAATGCCACGGCAATGCAGTGTAAACACCAAGCTGCTGCTAGTCGAACAGAAATGCTAGGATGAAGAGTAACTGACAAGATACTGTCAAGGAGGCCTGGAAGGACAGAATAAACAAATGATAACTTAGGTACACATAGATAAAACTCAACTGATCATAAAATAGTCAAAAGAATACATAGCTACATGGATATAAAATATATTTTTATCAAAAGCCAAATTATAATAGAAAAATACATAATTATAAATAATTTTTTTCTTTTAATTTCATTTTTCTCCCTTCTCACCATTCCTATGCAAAATAATTTTCTAACCTAAGAATTACTTCTAGTAATATATCTCATGAAAGCTGTCCTAAATTAAGTCCATATACAAAAGAAAACTTTACTTCCTAAATCAGCCAATCTCTTACTTTAGCTTCAGATTGCTTATTAATTTGGTACTAAAAATTAAAAATTATCAATAAATAACACCTTGAAAAGAAATGTCACACCCTGGCCAGCTGTGGTTGCTCACGCCTGTAATCTCAGCACTTTGAGAGGCCAAGGCAGGTGGATCACCTGAGCTCAGGAGTTTGAGACCAGCCTGGGTAACATGACAAAACCTTGTCTCTACCAAAAATACAAAAAATTAGCCAGGCATGGTGACGCATGCCTGTTGTCCCAGCAACTAGGGAGGCTGAGGTGGGAGGATCACTTGAGCCGGGGAGGCGGGGCTTGTGGTGAGCCGAGATTGCGCCACTACACTCCAACCTGCGTGACAGACTGAGACCCTGCCTTGAAAAAAAAAAAGAGAAAAAAGTCATACCCTGCCCCATCCTTTTTATTTTTTAATCCTTCTAGTACATTTATCTATATAATTAGTATACTTTTTTTATTTTTGAGATGGAGTCTTGCTCTGTCACCCAGGATGGAATGCAGTGGTGCAATCTTGGTTCACTGCAACCTTCGCCCTCCGGGTTTAAGTGATTCTCTTGCCTCAACCTCCTGAGTAGCTGCGATCACAAGTGTGTGCCATTACACCTGGCTAATTTTTGTATTTTTAGTAAAGACAAGCTTTCACCATGTTGGCCAGGTTGGTCTTGAACTCCCGACCTCAAGTGACCCACCCACCTCATCTTCCCAAAGTGCTGGATTACAGGCACGAGCCACCGTGCCTGGCCTACATAATTAATACACTTTCTATCCACCATGTTGCTCTTACAAGAACACAATGTTAAAATCAAGGCTTCGCTAGGTCCTCAGTGGGCTACTATTCAACTAACGACAAAGACAGTGAAGTGACCGCCACCACCACCAATAAAAGAAAAGGTATTATTTGCTATGATTCAACATAAACTTTCATGAAACATATGCTTCATGTCAAATTCTATTTAAGTAAGTGTCCCAGATCTAAATAGCTTATACACACAAATATAATGTAAAGTTTCTCAGAAAGAAATGTGTACCACAAAGGATAAAAGCCATGATGATGCATTTTTTTGAAACAGGGTCTCACTCTGCCACCCAGGATAGAATGCAGTGGCATGATAATAGCTCACTGTAGCCTTAATCTCCTAGGCTTAAGTGATGCTCCTGGCTCAGTCTCCCAAAGAGCTGGGACTACTACAGGTGCACACCACCGTGCCTGGCTAAGTTTTAAAAAATTTTTAGTAGAGAGGAGTTCTCATCATGTTGCCCAGGCTGGTCTTGAACTCAGCTCAAGCAATTCTCCCATCTTGGTCTCCTAAAGTGCTGGGATTACAGGCGTGAGCCACCATATCAGGCCTCAAAAATGATTTTTAAAAGTGATTTTAAAAAGAAGCAAGTCAGTTATGACTATACATTGAATGAATTTTTTTTTTTAAACATGAAATATCCAGAATAGGTGGATTCACAGAGACAGAAAGTAAATTCATGGTGGTCAGCGGCTGGGGGAAAGGGAAATGGAAATGACAACTTCCTGGGGGTAATGAAAAGACTCTGGAATTAGACAGTGGTAGTAACTGTACAGTAGAGCAAATATACTCAAAACCCCTGAATTGTATACCTCATAAGCGTAAACTTCATGGCAAGTGATTTACATCTCTTTTGTTTGTTGCCCAGGCTGGAGTGCAGTGCCGTTCTCTCGACTCACTGCAACCTCCACCTCTGGCGCTCAAGCGATTCTCGTGCCTCAGCCCCCCGAGTAGCTGGGATTACAGGCAAGAGCCACCATGCCTGGCTAATTTTTGTATTTTTAGTAGAGACGGGGTTTTGCCACGTTGGCCAGGCTGGTCTTGAACTCCTGACCTCAAGTGATGTGCCCGCCTCGGCCTCCCAAAGTGCTGGGATTATAGGCATGAGCCGCTGTGCCTAGCCATGAATTATATCTGAATAAAGCTATTATAAAGTGATTAAATACTTAAAAAAAGAAAGAAAATACTGCTTTAAAGACCTCTGAGGAACTGAATTACTTGTACCGTACTAGTGTTTTCACTGCAGATGCAGAGACAGTTCAGGTTTACTTCTCTGTAAAGTTTTTCTAGGTTATCTTATAAGTCTTTAGAATGGGGGGTGGGGCGGAGACTTACAGAACAATCTTTAATTACAAAAGAAAAAAACTAAACAATATACATCTTTTTAATAATGATTATAAATTTTTCATAAAACATTTCTAATAAATCTATAACGGAATCTATAAGTAAACTATATGAAGATTTCCTTCCTTGGAACAAAGTTATCTAGTGTTCAAGGGAAAAAAAGGTATTCCAATGAGTTACAAACAACAGATATACCTGTACTTGAATCCTGTAGCAAAGGTGCCGCTGTGGTGCCAAGATTGTGTATGAGATTTCCAAGTTCTTGTAAAGCACAAACCAGCATATGCTGGCTAGCTGCTACATCTGTGGAACCAACCCGGGTTTCCAAATTACCATCACTCATTACGGCATCTGACAGAAATGCAAGAATTAACTATGCATCACCACTGTATTAAAATATATTAAAAAGGGTGTGAAGAGTTGAAAGGTGTAACGGCGAAAATTAATACATACACTTGATCTATAAGAAATACTTGAGGCAATAACTAAAATGCTTAAATGGTGACTTGCATCAATAAAGAAAGAAATGAATTACTATAACCAATTTAGTTCAAGCATTCTAATCAGAGATCCCTTACTACTCCCTTAGCAAATGGCACTGAAAGAGAGAACTCATGGGAAACTAAAAATGATTTCAACATTACTGATATTTAATATCCAACATTGCCAGTATTCGAGATAAGGAGAGTAGACTTAAGATGGTACAGCAACTGAGATAGACTGTTTCAAAAATAATTTATCTTAACTTCTACAGGAAGTACAACGGGAATTCTGAGGAACTTCTATCAGCCTTCAAGGTTTCTGTATTAATACAGTATCATATATCAGTCTAGCCTTCCCAAAGGGACAATTCCATTAGCACTGTTAAACAAACTGTCTTAGTAGAGATCCATACCCATAACTTTCTTTAGCTTCCAGATGGCCTGGCAAATATCCTTTACAACAACAAGTTGAGCCTTTTCTCCAAGAAGACCACCTATAGTAGTTCGAAGAATAAATGAAACACAACGGCGACAGCAAATGGCATCAATCTGAGTTTGGGTGGCTTTAGGGTGTGACTGTGACACAAGGCTTAGGATATGAGAAAGAAAGGCAGCAAAATTTTTCTCTAGCCAAGCTCCTCCTAATGTTGAAACAAATACCACATAAGCCTAAAAAAGAAAAGAGTTTTATTTTCAATATTAAATTGTTTCAATTCTGTATTTTCCCTCACAAAATATGCAGCATTTACTAATATTTTTCTTATTCCTTATAAATTGTATTCTTTCCTAATTTATAGCCACTTGAAATATATAAACATAGCACCATTTTGTTTTTGTTTGTTTTAAGCCAGAACTGAAGGGCTTTTTTAAATTTTTATTTATTTTTATTTTTTGAGACACAGTCTCGCTCTGTTGCCCAGGCTGGAGCATGCAGTGGCACAATCTCGGCTCACTGCAAGCTCTACTTCTGGGTTCACGCCATTCTCCTGCCTCAACCTCTTGAGTAGCTGGGACTACAGGGGCCCGCCACCATGCCTGGCTAATTTTTTTGTATTTTTAGTAGAGATGGAGTTTCACCATGTTACCCAGGATAGTCTTGATCTCCTGACTTCATGATCTGCCCGCCTTGGCCTCCCAAAGTGCTGGAATTACAGGCGTGAGCCACCGCGCCTGGTCTGAAGTGCATAGTCTTCCAATCAAGACTTCATTTATGTTACCTTCCTGTTTTATTTTGGTCAGACTACAGTTTCAGAATAGTCAGCATACCCAGCTAATATGTAAAATGTGTCTGTGGCTTCTGTGAACAACGGTTCCAAGAGATTTAACATTCTGAACAAGAAATCTCTATTTAAACATACAAACACATTATAAGAATTAACTATGCTCCAACATTATAACTCTAAGGGAATTTAATTCTTTATTTTCATAAACATTAACAGTTTCCCTTACTCCACAGATATAAAGTAGTTTTAGGTAATCTGTTCCTTAGAAACACACAGTTTAATTACAATTATAGTGGGAGGCTCATATTTTCATGGAGACTACATACAGTATAAAACAATGACAATATATGTGAATTTTTCAAAAATACAAGTTTGCTTTGAATGGTAACAGGTTTAGCAAAAAAAGATAATCCAAGAAAAGAAGGCAGATATCTCTTTGTTTTATTGTAAGATAACTCTTCCAAGAGTTTACCTCTTAAAATTTGTTTAGGACCAAAAATTTAAGCACTGAAGTAAACTACATGCTGTACTCTCTGAGGGTTAAAGCCATATAAAATGGTTATTTCACCCATGCTAAACAATATGTACCTAATAGCTTAAATCTGAACTGTATGAGCACACACAAATACAATGGAAAACATGTTAAACCACAAGATACATGAAAGCACAACAGCTAGAAACAAAAAAAGTTCTTGTTTCAAAGAAAACTAAAATGTTCCATTATTAAGAACGCAAAACACATTATAGGTAATAAGGTTCTCTTACTTGCAACCTACTTTAAAAAAATGTTTTGGCCTTACCATTTATATCTATTAATAGATATGAGAGCATAAGTGTGGACCTTGCATAGTACCACTTCTGTGGAGTCAGATACTAAAACTTTCATTATAGGCCAGTAAGAGTTAGATTTAGATACTGATTTGTGATTCTAACCTGAGTAACTCCAACTCGAACATCCCTACTGACTGAACTGGTTCCTTTCAGCATATCTCCACTGGCTCGAAGGAATCCTGAACTCCCACGTAGAAACCCTGTTCCTAGTAATTCCAGAACTTCCTCCAGAGATACTCTGCGAATGCTTTGACGTGAGGCTGCTATGACAAAGAACAAAACTGTGATTCATATTTTATAGGCTAAATTTTAATGCATGTTCTTGATTTGCAAAAAGCCAGCATGTTAATAGAAACAAAAATAAACTAAAAATTCAAACAAAATGCAAAATTTGCAGAACAGTCTACACAGTAATACACAAAGTCACACAAGGGTTCAGAGGTCAAATCAGAATGGACCCTGAAGTGCATGTCAAAAGCATCTTAAAGACTATGACTAAGATCATGATCTATTGCTTCCTTTCCTCAAAGAAGTTAAAAGGCTGTCTTCTAAAACAGGGGAAAAAACATAAATAAGACTGCCCTAGTCCTCCACAAACGAAAACGCTGTACAATACTTTGAAAATTCTTTTGAAATATGGAAAATGCCAAAATCATAATTTTATTTTTCCAAATGCTGTACAACTCTCAAAGAAATGTATATAATGTAAATGTCCTATTTTTAAAAATTCTCTATTGGCAATAAAACTTTTACTATTCCTTCAGTCTCTGAAGAAATCAAAGCTAAATTCATTAAAACTACTCATTTGGCTCTTAGGCTACAATAACTAACAGATTAATTAAGGCAGGAATGTGTAAGATTGACTTCAGTTTGACACAGCCAGGTTTCTCCCTGTGACTATCTAGATAAAGACTATCTCCCTAAAAAAAAGAAGAAACCATTTCTCCCTCAAAAATTAATCGTCACAAGCTCTGACCCTCTATAAGAGCAAAGAAATAAACTTTTGTTACAGTTATGAACACAAAAACCTCCTCCCTAGCCTAAAGAAAACCATCTGAGACAAATGAAAATCTAACTTGGCATTTGGGGAAGAAACATTGAACAGTGCAAAATCCATGCTCTGTGGATCATAAATTCTGAGACAGCAATAAACGTAAAAAATGACTATGTATATTAAACAGTGATTAAAAACCATGCAGAAAACAGAGCAAAATGAGGTCAGGAATACGGGGCGGGGGGGGAGTGAAGTGTAGTTTGTGACTTTAAATAGGGTATTGGGGTAAGAGTCATTGAAACGGTGACATTTTAACACAGTTTGAATGTAGGGAAGAAATTAGTCATGAGGGTATCTGCAGAAAAAGTGTTCTAGGCAGAGGAAATGGCTGCGACAAAAAGGCCTTTATAGGATGCCAGGTGAGTTCACACAGAGCAATGTGGATGGAGTAGTGGAGGGGGTATGTAGGAGACAGGTCAGAGTGTAAGGATGGGGAGAGGGCAGAAGATATAGGACCTTGTAGGTCATTCTAATAAGGCTGTGACTGAAATGAGGTGCCAGTGGAGGACCTTGAGCAGACAAGTGATGTAATCTGTCATGCTGCTGCTGTGTTGAGAGATTATAGAGTGGGGTAAAGGTAGAAGCAGGGAAAACCATTAGGAGTGATTTATTAGTGTAAGCAAGAGATGATAGTGACTTGGATCAAGGTGGTTAAAGTAGAGTGAACGGAATCTGGACAAACATAAATATATATTTTTAAAAATTAGAAAAAAATTAGAAAAAAGCTGTAAGAAGAGTATAATAAACTTTCATATACAGTTACATACCACATAAGGACATTCTGTTCAATGACAGAGATCACATATATGACGGTAGTCCTGTAAGATTATGATGGAGCTGAAAAATTCCTATTGCCTCATGACATTCCAACACATTACTCACATGTCTATGGTGATGTTCATGTAAACAACCCTACTACACTGCCAGTCATTTAAAAGTAAAGACCATGCAATTATGTAAAGTATGTAATACTTGATAATAAACAACTGTTACTGGTTTATGTATTTATTATACTTTTTACTGTTATTTTAAAGTATACTCTTGTTTATAAAAAGTTAACTGCAAAACAGCTTCAGGTAGGCCTTTTAGGAAGTATTCCAGAAGAAGGCATCGCTATTACAGGAGACAACAGCTCCATGCGTGTCACTGCCCTTGAAGACCATCCAGTGGGACAAGATATTAAGGTGGAAGACAGTGAGATTGATGATTCTGACTCTGTGTAGGCCTGGGCTTATGTATGTGTTTAAAAGTTAAAAAAAAAAAAGGTTTTTTTTAATAGAAAAAAGCTTATAGAACAAGGATACAAGGATATAAAGAAAATGTTTTTGTATAGTTGTACAATGTATCTGTGTTTTAAGCTAAGTGTTATTATTATTTTGAGTGTAGTGGCACGATCTCAGCTCACTGAAACCTCTGCCTCCCAAGTTAAAGGGTTCAAGTGATTCTCATGCCTCAGCCTCCCAAGCAGCTATAACTCCCGGCATATGCCATCATGCCCCGTTTTTGCATTTTTAGTAGACAGACAGGGTTTCCCATCTTGGCCAGGCTGGTCTTAAACTCCTGACCTCAAGCAATCCACCCGCCTCAGCCTCCCAAAGTGCTGGGATTACAAGCATGAGCCACTGCACCTGGCCCCTAAATGTTATTATAAAAATATTCAAAGGAATCAAAAATTTTAAAAATCAAAAAGTTTATAAAGTAAAAAGCTTACAGTAAACAAAGGCTAATTTATTATTAAAGAAAAACATACATTTTTAAAATTTAGCATAGCCTAAGTATACAGTGTTTGTAACATCTATAGTAGTATACAGTAATATCCTAGGCTTTCACATTCACTCGCCACTCACTGACTCACCCAGAACAACTTCCAGTCCCATAAGTTCCATTCATAGTCAGTGCCCTATAGGTGTGTACCACTTCTTATCTTTTATATCATATTTATACTGTACCTTTTCTATATTTAGACATGTTTAGATACACAAATACCATTGTATTACAGTTTTCTCAGTATTCAGCATAGTAACATGCTGTAGAGATGTATAGCCTAAGAGCAATACTCTATACCATATAGCCTAGTGTGCAGTAGGCTATATCATCTAGATTTGTGTAAGTTCACTCTACGATGTTGCCACAATGACAAAATCACCTAATGATGCATTTCTCAGAATATGTCCCTATTATTAAGCTATGCGTGACTGCATCTACCTGGACTCATCATATTTTCTTCATTACTTTCTTACTTCTGAAGAATACACTTATGGCCAGTTGTTTTATAGAATGGCCCTTGATATGAGTTTGTCTGGTATTTCCTCCAAATTTTTGACAGAGAACTATATAAGTAATGCTATATCCTTTTCAATGCATAACATCAAAAAGCACTGCCAGGTGTGACGTCAGTCTGTCCCTACATACGTGACATTAGCTTTGAACATTTGCACAGTGTAAGTCTGCCAGATTTTTCCACCGTAAAATTATCATTTATAATTATGATGCAATGTATATGGCAATACTTTAAGATGGCATGAGATTGGATAAAACCACAAGACATGCTTTCTTGGCTTTCTTTCCTTCCTTCTCACTGGAAATTTCTGTTCTGTCTTCTTCGATGGTTCCTTGTGTTCTTCTAGAGAAAGCTCATGACCTAGTACCTGGTCTGCTCTTCCCTATGTATACTCACTGTCTTGTGATCTTATCTAATCTCATAGCTTAAATTCCATCTCTATATTAGAGATTCCTGAATAATCACTATTAATTTATTCCTAAAATAAATAAATTAATTTATTCCTAAAATTTATGAAGTTGATGTCCAGTCTCCTCTCCTGGACACCAGACTCTCATATCCAGCTGTCTATTTGATATCTGTATTTCGATGTCTATTTAATGGTCCAAATTGTTTTAAACGCAGTGCTTGATCCTCCTCCCTGACACATACACATGCCTGCTCTACTTGCACACTTGCTCATGTAAGCTGATGACAACTGTATACTTCCGGGTTTTCAGCCCAAAATTCATAAAGTCACCCTGGACTTCTCTTTCACACTCAACATCTATTCTATTTGACTATTCAAAAGATTCAAAAGTAGAACTCCTTAGAGAAATGGCTAATTCTGGGGTTGGGACGGAGAAAGTAGTACGCTGTGATTGCACCACTGCACTCCACCCTGGGTGGCAGAGTGAGACCCTGTCTCCAAAAACAACAACAACGAAATCACTAAGACAAAGCAAAACTGTCCAAATACAATAAACTTCAAATATCTAGAATTATCTACATTATATGCTCCATTGTACCAACCTAAAAAATGGCAAGCCAAATATATGTAGTCAGATGCATGCTGCTTTAAAAAAAAAAAAAATCAGTATTTAGATCATATCGTTTATTGGATAACACTTCACAATTACTTTAAAAAAAAAAATTTAAAATGGCCGGGCGTGGTGGCTCACGCCTGTAATACCAGCATTTTGGGAGGCCGAGGCAGGCGGATCACGAGCTCAGGAGATCAAGACTATCCTGGCTAAAACTGTGAAACTCAGTCTCTACTAAAAATACAAAAAATTAGCCAGGTGCAGTGGCGGGTGCCTGTAGTCCCAGCTACTCAGGAGGCTGAGGCAGGAGAATGGTGTGAACCTGGAAGGCAGAGTTTGCAGTGAGCAGAGATCGCGCCACTGCACTCCAGCCTGGGCGACAGAGCAAGACTCCATCTCAAAAAAAAAAAAAAAAAGAAAAAAAAGGAACTTTTTTTTTTTTTTTGGAGTGCAGTGGCACAATCTCGGCTCACTGCAACCTCTGCCTCCTGGGTCCAAGTGATTCTCCTGCCTTAGCCTCCCAAGTAGGTGGGATTACAGGCGTGTGCCACCACACCCGGCTAATTTTTGTACTTTTAGTAGAGATGAGTCTCACCATGTTGGCCAGACTGGTCTCAAACTCGTGACCTTAGGTGATCCACCCACCTTGGCCTCCCAAAGTGCTGGCATTACAGGCATAAGCCACCATGCCCGGCCCGAAATTGATTTATAATGGGTAGCAATAACATTATACATATTTGTTTATATCAACTGGGGAAAAAATTACAGAAGATACTTTAAAAACAATTACATGTATTTACCTGTTCCTGGATGTTTAGAAGTTATAGCTTTAGCTAATATTGTGCCTAGTAACTTTGAAACAGAAATCCGCACATCATAATTGGAACCTTCAAAGGACTTAAAACACAGTGTGGCCACACTGTCCAGGTCCGTACTCCACATAAAGATGGCTTCATTCTGAAGTTCAAGGAGACACTATTCAATTGGACAAAGAGAAATTAATGAAAAATAAAATACAAATGTCAGGTTCAGAGCTATATAAGTTACAGAAACTATCAGGGTTTTAAAAAATAATACACAAATTCAGAGTATCTATTATGATTACAAGAATAATGAATACTTATTAAAAGTCATAAAGATTATATTATAGAAGAGAATGAACCTACAAGAGGTGGGAGGAGGACCCATTTCTAACTCCACAGGTTATGAAAAATGCCTTTAGAATCAATCTGTTGGCTATGAACATCTGGGAGAATAATTCCAACATTAAAAAAACTTCACTGTATTATCTTACCAACTATGTTAAGAAGGTATAAATTAAAAACAAAACAAAAAATCACTTTGAGACAACATAAACCTCACATGTAAATTTTAATTTACACAATTAGGGAGAAATTTTTAGTAGAGTAGAATGAATACTTAAGATTCTGGAAACCTGAACTTCCTACCCTCTGACCATGTGTTGCTAACTTAATTTAAACCTTGGGAAATTCATATAACTCTGGGTCTCGGTTTCCTCGTATGTTAAAATGAGATAGTCCTAGCTGACTACCAAAATAATGTAGCTTTCACTAATGCTTTCACAAAGATAATCTGATTTAATTTTCTTCATACTAATTTTTAAAGTCTGCTTATTAGATCATTTTACCTTTGCAGCAGCACAACGAACAGCCATGGATCTATCTGTTAAGCAGGATCTAGCAGCTTTATAAACATCCCTGTGACAAGGTGCAGCAGCAGCTCCTAGTCCATTCAATATATTTTGCAGACTTAGCATAATCTCATATCGGCCTTGAGACTACCAAAAAGAAAAAAAAAATTAAATAGGAAAAATAATTCCACTGCAAAGAACAGGATTAAACACTGGTATCTGTCTCTGGTACTGAAGAAATACCCAGACTTCTATACATACTGACCAACCCATTCTGACATCAAGAAACAAGTTACTATTTTATGAAATATTATTTGAAAAGTTACTTGTATACACCGGATTTCAACATGATACAAATTTCACAGGGTTGATGTGAAGATTAAACAAAATTACATGAAAAGTGCCTAGCCCAAAGCTTACATGCCATTAAGCATTCAATAAATAGTTGTTACAGTCTAAGCTAACGTATTAAAAATGCAGGGTCTGCCATTTACCAGATAGGACCTTGGACAAATCTGTTTCTTCATCTAAAAATAGAGGTAATAGCATCCCTCATAGGCTGTTGTAAGGAATGAATGAGTCATACATGCAAAGTGCTTATAACAAGCCTAGCCATACAACAAATGTTCAATAGATTTGGTAGCTATAATACTTTGTTATTATTTATTGGTTGGAATAGCATAACTCACAATTTAAAGTCTTGGATTTAGAATTGAAAAAACCTGGGTTTGAACTTCTCTGTGACCCTCAGTAACTTTGTGACTTTAAGTTGTTCTTACTTACTTCCTCATCTATAAAATGAGGATAAGATGAACCTCATGGGTAAACATTCACACAGTGCCTGGCACACAGTAAACAGTCAAGAAATAGTAGCTGCTTGGTTGGGCCCGGTGGCTCACACCTGTAATCTCAGCACTTTGGGAGGCCAAGGTGGGCCAAGTGCTTGAGCTCAGGACTTCGCAACCAGCCTGGGCAACATGGTAAAACCATAACTCTAAAAAAATACAAATTTTAGCCAGGCGTGTTGGTGCACATCTCTAGTCCCAGCTACTCAGGAAGCTGAGGTGGGAGCATGGTAGTGTACACCTGTAGTCCCAGCTACTCGAGAGGCTGAGGTGGGAGGATGGCTTGAGCCTCGGAAGCAGAGGGTGCAGTGGGAGGTAGAGGGTACAGTGGGAGGCAGAGAGTGCAGTGAGTGCAGATTGCACCACTGAACTCCAGCCTGGGTGACAGAGCCAGACTCTGTCTTAAAAAAAAAAAAAAAGTAGTCGCTTATTTTATTAATGTTTTACTAAATACCTCAAATCATATCTATATCCCAGGAAGTTAAGGCCACTGAAGGTAGATAAGTTGGAGTTGGAGGAAGACAAAGATCAGCATCAAGAATCACTTCATAGTAATATTGTTAATTCATCTTTGTTTAAAGGCACTTCAAAGTCATAGGTGAACATAATAAAATGGTGCCAATGAGAATCTTCTGAACTTTTCTTTTATTCCAGTTCCAAATATTGTGTATCACTGGTGGGTGTGGATATCTCTGAAATGTTGTGATACCTGATCAACTAAATCAAAGATCAAAAGTAGGGAATACGGCTCAAGGACGTTAGCTAAAAAAATTTTAAAAATAGGGGAGCAACAAAATACTTAACAGTAACTTAAAACATTTTCATAACTATAGAGTAATCCTCTATTAACCAAGGGGCCTAAAAAGTGTTATAGCTTAACTAGTGGAATTAGGAGGAAGAAAGTTTAAAATGGCTGTATCTCAATAAATAAAATTTCTTACAGATATCTGCTTTTAAATAAAACTAGATTTATAGATGTTATAAAAATCTGTTCTCCTTAATCATTTTCTCCAATCTTTTGGGAAACTATTGCTGAGAAGTGATCTGATGAGCAAATTTTCTCACCAGTTTTATGTTAGAGTCTTCACTTCTTAAAGTTCTTGAATCAGCTACATTCTTCTTAAAATTCCATTTTTTAAATTGGAATTTTCCCTTGTTTTGCCTTGCTACATTTTTTTAAAATGTGTGTGTGACTGTCCAACATTTCTATAAATTACTTCAGAGCTGTTTTCTAGATTTTTGTAAATAAAGTAACAAGAGTAACCAGTGTGATGTTTTTAGATTTATTTTTTCTAATAAATATTTTTTAAGAGACATGGTGTTGGGCCGGGCATGGTGGCTCATGCCTGTAATCCTAGCACTTTGGGAGGCTGAGGCAGCTGGATCACTTGAGGTCAGGAGTTCAAGAATAGCCTGGTGAACATGGTGAAACCCTGTCTCTACTAAAAATACAAAAAATTAGCTGGGCATGGTGGCACGCGCCTGTAATGCCAGCTACTCAGGAGGCTGAGGCAGGAGAATTGCTGGACCCCAGGAAGTGGAGGTTGTAGTGAGCTGAGATCGTGCCACTGCACTCCAGCCTGGACAACACAGCCAGACTCCGTCTCACAAAAAAAGAAAAAAAAGAGGGTCTTGCTCTGTCACCTAGGATGCTGTCCAGTGGCATGACCATAGCTCACTACAGCCTTGAACTCCTGGGCTCAAGTGATCCTCCTGCCTCAGTCTTCTGAGGGGCTAGAACTACAGGTGCTCACCACCATACTGCAACTAATTTATGATTTTGTAGAGACAGAGTCTTCCATTGTTGCCCAGGGTGGTCTAAAACTCCTGGCTTTAAGTGATCCTCCCGTCTCAGCCTCTCAAGTAGCTGAGATTACAGGTGCAAACTACCATGTCCATGTTTTTATATTTAAAGGTGCTAAGTTGTCCTTACATATTAGGGACCACAGATTTAAACCTTTTGCTAAACAAACATATAAATGCTTTCATTTCAAAACCAGTAAAACCACAGTTGGCAAGAGATTACAGTATCTTAGTTTCTTAAAGTCAAATGAAGAGACAGTCTCAAAAACAAGGGGTGTTCCAGAGTAGTAAGTGACACAAATATTTCAATGAGGATTCAGTTGAAAATATACTCCCTTGGGAATTAAAAGGTCATCTGGATCTGGTCACACATCCTCTACACTCTTTCCCCTCAGATTATATTCCTTACTACCTTCTGATGCTAGTATAGTAACTCATCTATCCATAAGGTATACAGTGTTTATCAACTATGTAGTCCCTAGTGACAAGCAGTTGCACTGGCACCAGTAAGTACTATCAAATAGAAAAGATGGAGTAAGAGGAGAGAGCAGGAATGGGCCTATAAGTGGAATACATTAGTTTTCACCCACTTGGATTTATATGAATACATGAAATTCTACTGCATTACTATTTTCCTGACAGGAATTCAATATACAGAGTACATATTGTGCATCATCTAGAAATATTTAATTTATAGGTATATTTATATTCATATCTACATATGCTTGTCATATGTAAAGTTCTTTTATTTGCTCGGGAAAGCATAAACCAATAAAATGCTGTATTTTCATTCTTTGGCTGAACTTGTAATTACTTACCTCTGCACTCTTCACAGCCTTAAGAATATTCCCCACCGTATCAGTAAAGGTGTTACCCAGTATTCTACCCAACTTCTTGTACAAGGAACCCAAACATACCACAGCAGCACTGAAACAACATTTAAATTAGAAATTAGTCACAGCTGAAACAATAGGAATAAAAATATCTTAGAATATGTAAGGATAACTATTGAAAAATTTCCCCATTCTCTTGGTTGTCTTTTTACTTTCTTTGTATTATCCTTTGAAACACAAATGTATTAACTGTGATGAAGTCTTATCTATTTTTTGTCAGTTGTGCTTTTTGATGCTATACCTAAGAAACGCTGCCAAAAACAAGGTCACAAAGATTTACCCCTATTTTTTTCTTACGAGTTTTATAGTTTTAGCTGTTACACTTACATCTATGATCAATTTTGGGTTAATTTTTTTATACATGGTGTGATAGAAGGGTCCAAATTCATTCTTTTGCATGTGGACATACAGTTATACTGGCATCACTTGTTGAAAAAGTTACTATTTTAAATTTTACTTTGAAAGGATAAAATTTCTAAGAATCTATTCTGTGGTTAAATCTTAAGGCATGACACTTAGGTGAATATCATTATACTTTCAATAATAAGGATGTATCAATCTGTGATTACTACTCAGCCCAAAGATTACACACCCTCAACTTTGTTACAAAATTCTACAAAATATTTCAACAGAACTCAGCTACATATTAGATAATAGTTAAGCTTAAAGACAAAAATAAAAACAAGAAATAATGTTCTCATCAAGTTTGAAATCTGAAAACTTTATGGGGGAATACATTCTGTTATAAGTAAAAATTAGAGCAACAAAAACTTCTATAGAATTATGACATGGTGGCTGGGCGCAATGGCTCATGCCTATAATCCCAATACTTCGGGAGGCCAAGGCGGGTGGATCACTTGAGGTTGGGAGTTTGAGACCAGCCTGGTCAACATGGTAAAATGCTGTATCTACTAAAAATACAAAAATTAGCTCAAAGTGGTGGTGCGTGCCTGTAGTCCCAGCTACTTGAGAGGCTAAGACAGGGGAATTGCTCGAACGCAGGAGGCGGAGGTTGCAGTGAGCCGAGATCACGCCACTGCACCCCAGCCTCGGTGACAGAGAGGTTCTGTCTCAAAAAAAAATAAAAAAAGAAATACTACGTGGCTCATTGCCTTTTTAAAGATAACAGGTGATAAAATGAACTAAATCCTACAGAGAAACTAGGCTGTTCTTTTCAGGATCTTGGCAAATACTTTTCTACATGATATTTATTATCAATTTTCATAACCAAGAATGAATAAATTGCAAAAGCATCCAAAAATGTGAAGAATTTAAAATATCTTTCTTAAATATTCAACTGCTGAAATTTTTTTTAGGAAGATGTTTTGAATCTCAAATCTAGACTTCAAATATGTCTAAAGTATTTGTAGAATTGTTTCTCAGTAACTAACATGAAGTGTTAGTTTCTTAAAATGAGTAAAACTGAGTTTGTATTCAGTTTCAAAGTAATTGTCAAGTACTATGGGTAATTCATAAAAATACAACAGGAAGCAATATTTTGTTTCCTGTTCTGTTTTAATGTTTCACTTACAGCTTAGTAGGAAGGTAACTTGGAGAATCATCTCTGCTACGAATAAGATCATTACATTTATCGATTGCCTCGTAAACGGAGAATGTGTCTCCAATACTATAAAGTATGGCTAGATTCTTAGCAAGGAGTTTGCGGGTAGGAGGCCCTGGGGAGTTGTTCAACAAAGACAGGAGCTGTTCAACAAGAGTCTTCTGTTTCTCCCTTACATCATTCTAGAAAGAAAGATAACACAAAGACACTTCAAAGTCAATATAATTATATGTAATCCTCTAACATAATTTTTCTTTCAAATATTTAAGAACTAAAAAGGCTCTAGAAAAATACAAACTTATTGTGACTGGAAGTTACAAATAAGTTGGTAGTGTGGTCATTATGCCACACTAAACAGGTAGTTTGTTGCTCTGCTAGTAACTCCAAAAAAACCCTCCAAAAATTCCAAACCACATTATACTGTAATCTCTGTTAACAAATATAAGGGCTCTATGTATTCTAAATCTTCTTTTGTTTGAAAGGTAGAGGAAATTTGTATCATTATTTTTCATAGAGACAATGTGATATGGTTTGGCTCTGTGTCCCCACCCAAATCTCATGCTGAATGGTAATTCCCATGTGTCAGGGGAGGGGCCTGCTACAAGGTGATTGGATCATGGGGGTGGATTTCACCCATGCTGTTCTTGTGACAGTGACTGAGTTCTCACAAGATCTGATGGTTTAAAAGTGTGTGACACTTCCCCCCAACCCTTCCTGCCACGATGTGAAGAAGGTCCTCACTTTCCCTTCACCTTCTCCCATGACTGTAAGTTTCCTGAGGTCTCCCAGTCACACCTGTTAAGCTTGTGTAATTGTGCATTAATTAAACCTCTCTTCTTCATAAATTACCCAGTCTCAGGTAGTTCTTTACAGCAGTGTGAGAACGGACTAATACACAAGGTCACACTATGTTGCTTGGGGTACAGTGCAATGGCTATTCATAGGGGCAATTATAGTGCTGCACTACAGCCTCCAATTCCTGGGCACAAGCAATCCTCCTGCTTCAGCCTACCAAGTAACTGGGTCTACAAGTACGCATCAGCATGTCCAAATTTGTACTTTCAAGTACAGCGTCTGAGTTACTAATCCTACACCTCCCCCATATAAGCTGCATAAAGCAGTAACCTATAATCTGTAACCAGAGCTGACCTTGTAATGGCTACCTGTTTTATTCAGATCTATTCCTAAGTGTAATGCAATTTTCTTTTTGCAAGCTTATGTATATAAATGTTAATAATGTTATTCCATTTTCCTTGTCTGCTATCCAAATAAAGAGTACACAGTATCATTATGAAGCTAATGGTATTCAGGTGCTCACTGAAGCCTAAAATTCCACAATAAAATATTTGTCAGTGTATAGAATTTTGTCTTTTGCTAATTTTTTCCCCCAAATCTAGAAGTTGCTTTTTTTCTCTCTTAAAGATCAGCAAACTTGTCAAATATTTTGATAACTAGAGTCACATAGCTCCTTGTTGTCTTAGAACAAGAATGTGTTTTGGAATGCTATTATTTTAAATTCATAAATAAAATGTCTTTTGTTAAATTCTAAATGTCTCCATGAGTAGTGTTTTTGTACCACTTTGGAACTGCATATAGTACTGTGATTATGTGAAAAAATGTTCTTATTTTTAGGAGATGTAGGTTAGAAGTGCCACCTCAATGGCTTAGTAAATTAATCAACCAAACATGGCAAAATGTTACTAATTGCTGAATGTACATGAAGGGTATGAGTGATCAGTTTTCCTTTTTTATACTCATGTCATAAGCTTTTAAGGGAGAATCTGTTTATCCATAGGATCTTGAATTCATACACCTCAAGTCTTCCTACCTTTTTAAAGTGAAACTCCCACTACATTGTTTAGCCACCATACTTTACCAGGGCTTTCTGGACATGGAGGAACACAGATGCAGAAGATAACAAAAATGAAGTATAATACAAAGTAGTTGTAGTTGGTGTTTCATATATTTTTAAATTAATACCAAAAATATTAGCTAATTTCTTCCTGCTTTTCTGAATAGCGAAAACTTCTAATAGTAAAAACTCTGATGAGGGAACAAAAAATGTACTATGTTTCATTAAGTTTTAACAAAGTCTAACATTTTAAAGTTAAATTACATTATTCTGGAAAAAACTAGAAAAGCAAACCAAAGGAAGTAAACATGGGCACTTAAAAAAACATGTTGTCATTTTACCCACCCTGCTGGTTGCTAACAAGAGCTTCTCCAAGTATCTCAACCACTCAAAAATAAACTCTGCCTTCTGAACTTCACCTAGTTGATTGTATGCTTCTTCATTCAGTAATAAGCTATGAGCTAATTCCATTCCTTGCAGCAATCCTCCTAGCTGGTCACAGTTCTTCTCGTTAAACTTTGGTCAATATACCTAAGAATAAAAATCTGCAATACAGGAAAATAACATATTTTAAAAGGGGAATAAAAAGGAAGGCAATCATAATATTGGAAATCTTTCACAGAAAAGTGAAAACATAATTAAATGTATACATTTTTTATAACTGCTCTAGGGTGAATCTGGGAAAATCCCAATAATGTTCTAGTTAACACTGACATAAAATCCACCTTTATATTCTGTACTCAAGCAGACAGGCAAAATAGAGTGGTATTATTGGCAATTGTATGCAAAAACTTGCTAAACAGAAGAGACATTCCACTAAAATTTTGAAAATTTTAAGATTAAGCTGTTTATTCCGTGTTAGGTTTTCTTTGCAGTTTAAGTAACTTACTAAAATGGGTAATAGGTACATATTAAAAAATGACACCAAACATCCAGACCTTCTACTAGAATTCTATAGTAAAGCTTACCATCTCTCTGGGCCTTTGCCTAGCTAGGTACATGCCCTGTCATTTACCTGGAGATCCAAGAGGGACTTAAGCCCATTAGCATCAGTTCTCCCAGCCTACTAAAGGCACTGCTTGTAGTTTCAGGTGAGGAGTTTAGGAGAGTCCAATCTTAACTAGGCTTATATCTGAAAGTCTTGTGAGAGCAAACTTTTTAAAATGGGTATTGTCCAGGAATTATAGCAATCAAGATCATATCTGCTCTGACCTAGATCCAGTGTAGCCTTAATTTTGTGGTAGCAAACAATCAACAGAAGACACAGGGTTTGTAAAATTATTGTCTTATTCAAGGCATCTCCTGGGGTACACCTTAGTGCCGTTACAGAGCACAAAAGCATATAAATATAAATGTATGTATATATATACATATTCACATTAACATACAAATTTATAAGATGGCATTGTGATTACTAGACAGATTTTTTATTTTTAGGAGATGCATGCTTTACTGTAACTTACTTTTTAAATGGTTAAACCACTTACTCAACCATAAAATATGGCAAAATGTTAACAGCCGAATATAGGTAGTGGATATGTGAGTGATCATTTCACTACTCTTCATTTTTCTGCATTTTAAAAAGCACAACAAAAAGTAGAAAAAAATTATTTAAGAAAAGAAATAAAACACAAGTTGGCTATTAAAAACTACTACTACTTACAGGAGTGGCAGCTATCATCAGGAACATTAAAGAACATAGAAGGTACCATAGCATGTACAAAAGATGGGTATTCCTATTCACTAATGTCCCTAAATAGAAACATGTTAATTGGAATTTCATAGGAATAGAGATAAAATGCTATGGCTAATTTAACTAAAATAGTTAAAATACATATCTCACATTTCCCTAAACAAATCTCATACCTTTACAGAGAAGCCAGTAACTAAAGAGGTATTAGAAAATTAGATGACAGACATGGGAAAGGCTTTTCATTTTTTCAAACAGTTTATCTGTTTCATAATTTCAAATGGTTTACCTGTTTGAAATTACTTAGAGTATCAGGTCATCATAATTATAATACAACTGAAAAGAGCCTCTTTAAAAGACAGTAGTCACAAACTGGTTCCCTGTTGGTCAAGACTGCCTGCAATGCATTGGGGCTAACATTTAAACATAAGAAGATTGTGCATAAAAATCTGGGTCCAGGGCCAGGCACAGTGGCTTACATCTGTAATCCCAGCACTTCGGGAGGCTGAGGCAGGAGGATCACTTGAGTCTTGGGTTCAGGAGTTCAAGACCAGCCTGGGTAACATAGACCCTTGTCTCTACAAAAAATTAAAAAATTAGCCAGGCATGGTGGTGCATGCCTGTAGTCCTAGCTACCTGTGAGACTGAGATAGCAGGATCACTTGAGCCAGAGAGGTTGAGGCTTCAGTAATCCATGACCACACCACTGCATTCCAGCCTGGTGAAGAGTGAGACCCTGTCTCAAAATCAAAAAAAGAAAAAATCTGGGTCCAGTGCCATGTGTGATGGCTCATGACTATGATCCCAGTACTTTGAGAGGCCGAGGCAGGAGAACTGCTGAGGCCAGGAATTTGAGAGCAGCCTAGGTAACAGTGGGACACCCTCTCCACCAGAAAAAAAAATAAAAAAAGAAAGAGAAAGAAAATCTTAGGTCATTTTCAAAAATGTCACTTTTACAGAACAAAGAATATAAACAATGTGGCCAGGTGTGGTGGCTCACACCTGTAATCCCAGCACTTTGGGAGGCCAATGCAGGCAGATTATCTGACCTTAGGTATTCGAGACCAGGCTGGGCAACAAGGCGAAACCCCATTTCTACGAAAAATACAAAAATTAGCCAAGCATGATGTTGTGCACCTGTGGTCCCACTTACTCGGGAGATTGAGGCAGGAGAATCGCTTGAGCCCTGAAGGCAGAGGATGCAGCGAGCCAGGATCATGCCATTGCACTCCAGACTGGGAGACAGAGTGAGACTCTGTCTTGAACAACAACAAAAAAGGAATATAAACAATGCTGCTAAACATTCATTTTTACTGAAGCAACAAAAATTCTAGCTTGTTTTAAAAAACCCTCCTTTCCTTTCTTCAATTATTGAAGTGAACTAGCCAAAATATTCACAATTAAGGATACAGTTAATAAATGCTACAGAAATAATTTCTGGAAGAAACCTACTAAATACACACAAGGTGAAAAACAAGTTTACACTTAGTATCTATGATTGTTTGGGGGGTAGAAATAACCACAGTATCATAGAGAAAATTTCTTATTAATACCAGGGTAAGTCAAAATCCTATCTTCAGAATCAAATTACCCTTTCTAGAAGTCATTAGTATCTGCTGAAGAGACTTTTTTTTCTTTAGGCAGCAGCAATATTGTGGTGTAAAATGATCTATCAAGAAGCAAAACAGCTAACACAATGTGATAATAAATAATTCAGCAAAAAGCTTGAGATCATAAGCAGGTCATAAAGTCATCTCTAATGCCCTCAATATATTCCTTATGTAAATTACTCCTAAAAGAAGTAGACAATTCATATTGGTAATCTCACATCTAAACTCACAAGTCTAAAATATTTGCACCTGAGAGCTCCACATATGCACTACCCATGAGATAAGCAAGGGCATTTTGCAAACAGATGGCTGCTGCTCTTATCTGAAGTCTTACCTCATCAGGAAGATGAATACAAATTCAGTCAATGTTATCTGCTATATGTTTTAATATAACCACAACCCTACATATACTTGAGGAATGCTTATTTTTCTAATTTTTCTCTTAGTTTCTCTTATGTTTCTATTGAGATTACAAGGTGATTTACTACAAGTGAACACATATGTCAATATATTTAAATACATTTTTCAAAGTATAGTTAGTTGCTACTTGAAAAAAGGATTTTATAAAACTGCTGCCCCAAATGTAATGCCAGCTATATTTAACAGAAGCAGCTAATATTTACTATTTATTATAGTCTAAGCAGTACTCTAAGTGCTTTACATTATTTTCTTGAATAATCTGACAAACTGTCCATGAAGCAGCTATTTTTATTAGCCCTATTTTACAGATGAGGACATTGAAACACAGAGAAGTTAAGTGACTTTCCCAAGGTCACAGAGAACCTGGGTGTGCACTTAAGCAATCTGACTTCAGATATATTTGTTTTAACCACAACATACTATGCTGCCACCCTTTCATCCAATCAAGCCCCTCAAAAATGTGAGAAGTTAGGCCAGGTCCGGTGGCTCACGCTCGTAATGCCAGCACTTTGGGAGGCCGAGGCAGGCGGATCACCTGAGGTCAGGAGCTTGAGACCAGTCTGGCCAACATGGTGAAAACCTGTCTCTACCAAAAATACAAAAAATTAGCCAGGCGTGATGGCATATGCTTGTATTGTCAGCTACTCAGGAGGCCAGGAGGCTGAGGTGTGAGAATCACTTGAACCCAGGAACCCGGGAGCTGGAGGTTATAGTGAGCCAAGATCACGCCATTGCATTCCATTGCGCTCTAGCCAGGGTGACAAGAGTGAATCTCTGTCTCAAAAAAAAAAAAAAAAAAGTGAGAAGAGGGGCCAGGCACAGTGGCTTACACCTATAATCCCAGCATTTCGGGAGGACAAAGCATGAGTGTGGCTTGAGCCCATGAATTCAAGACCAGCCTGAGCAACATAATGAGACCCCATCTCCCCAAAAAATAAAAAAATTAGCTGGGCATGGTGGTGCATACCTGCAGTCCCAGCTACTTAGGAGGCTGAGGTAAGAAGATCACTCGAGCCCAGGAGGTTGAGGTGACAGTGAGCCATGATCAAAAAACAAAAAAACCCAAAGCCAGTCATTTTTTTAAAAGCTTACATTTTGTACATAATTTGTGGATATATGGAACTAAATGACACTGTTTCCCAAGGACAGAACATCAGGTTCCTTGGTGTAATAAATTTAGGAATCTTCCATTAAGACAAAGTTAGGGATTTTTACCTATAAGATTTCTCAGGCTATTTAATTAGGTTAATGTATACTATGACACTCCATGAATGCAATATAGTATGAAGTATTAGTCAAAATGCTGCCAGCACCTAGCAACTTCTAGACCTAAGCAAACTGTTCCAAGGAGAAACATTAAAATGTACTTGTTATCACCACTTATTTATATATATATATATGTATTCTGGAGATGGAGTTTCACTCTTGTTGTCCAGGCTGGAGTGCAATGGTGCGATCTCGGCTCACTGCAACCTCCACCTCCCGGGTTCAAACAATTCTCCTGCCTCAGCCTCCCGAGTAGCTGGGATTACAGGCATCCACCACCACGCCTGGCTAATTTTGTATTTTTAGTAGAGGCGGGGGTTTCACCATGATGGTCAGGCTGGTCTCGAACTCCTGACCTCAGGTAATCCACCCACCTCGGCCTCCCAAAGTGCTGGACTTACAGGGATGAGCCACCATGCTTGGCTCTATTAATACATTTTTAAAAGGTACACAAGAATGTTTATTCCATTACTTTACAGCCAAACACTGTATGTGCTTACCCTAAAGCCAATAACTGAACTAAGTTATAAAGGTATTTAAATGCTTTTAGACTAGGTAT